GTACAGTTTTGTATGCGGTGGCCCCCCCCCCCCCACTTTTTTCCTTTCGGCACATCCCTGTCTAATACTATTCATTGGTGCTATACTCATGTATTGTTTTTTGATTTCAGAATATGTCAAATGTGCTTCTATTCATACCTGAATGATTGAACTATGAATCTCATCGAAACTTAATTTTTTTCTCTCTAAAGAATTCAAAATTAAGATTTCTTTTGGCGAGAAAATGTAAATGTCAGTGTTTGATTAAAAACAAAAATTCCTAGAAAACTATATCTAATCTTTGAAATTCATTGAAGAGACAAATGAGCATTCTGAGAAGACCTTAGCGTTCTATGGTATAGGAGTCAAATTTTGCAGGCTTATCTGTGGGAAGATTTCTATTCTATAAAAAAAAAGACATGAATATATAATTACCGAAACAAAAAATAACAAGGCAAGATGCACTTACTTAAGGAAGCAACTCGATCATTTTTGACAATAAAAAGAAAATTCATGCATAATTCATCAAATGAGAAGCAATGCGCAATAGAGCTTTCAAAAAAAGCAAAGACAAGATTAAATATTTGTTTTCTCTGTAGTACCATTATCTAAATGAATAGTAATCTAGAAATCCTAGAATAATCTTTAAGCGAAAAAGATCAAAATATAGTTATACACTTTCGCGCTATGCAAAAAACATTCCAAGATAAACATGACATACCACCAACAGATATTTGTCATTTATATTTGATAATAATAATAACACAAAGATCGTCTAATGACGTAGTAAACAAGAAAATACATGATTAGTTGGCACAGCAACTGTGATAATGAATAATAACCAGGATTAACTGATAGTTGAATGCGACTGTTTAGCATATTTGCATTATCATTTGATAGTGATGATGTACGGAAGATTAATTGAGTTTTCTGCAGGTGATGACCAACATATATACATATGAATGTATATAAATACGTCATTCTCTAACATTAAATATCAATAATCAAACATCTTGTATAGTTTTGTTGATTGCATATAATCAATAGTACACTTGGTGTTAATTTAGAGCTGTCTATTTTTTTATGAGAATCATACGTCTATTAAGTTGAAGATTCACAGTCGAACAATATAGGTTCGATATATCTTGTGGGCTTATAATACGTTTTATGATGACTACGAATTAGATATTTTATGAAGCAGACATTTCATAAATACTACTACGGTGAAGTTGGGCATCTAGTAATTATTTTAATAGGAAAGATCTTGATAACTTTAATGTTAGAGATTGTTGTAAGATTGTTTCGAGGAAATGTTGTTGATGAAAGCATAAAAACTATTTTGATACAATTCTATTATTACTTCAGTAAAAACAGCGAGTAGAAAAACATTTAAAAAAAAGAACGAAATCCAATAGAGAAATTGACGAAAAAAGCATTTACTAGCCATTCTTGAACTTTTATTTTGATGAAAAAATAGTTATAGTCGATTTTTTTTTGATGAATTTGCTTTCGCAATTGCTTTTTACAACGCAATAAGGCCATATAGAAAGAACGAAATATGACAAAACATCGATTTGCTGTTGTGACTTTGCTTGAAAGTAAAGTAATCATTTTATGCTGTTTATTTTTAATCACCGTAAATTTTTTCTCGAACTATTATTCATTTAAATATGACAATAATCAGTTTACCTTATACATAACTAGAAGCAATGTGTCAAAGCATTCAGCATCTATCATAAGTAACAAAACACATGAATTCTTTCTAAAGTATTTATTTAAATTTAGGCTTGGTTTTTTGACTATTTCATACGAGTTTCGCAAGCGTTTATGGCAAATTTGTTGTACGAAAAAATTTCATAACATTTATTATTTTAATTTTAACGTTAAAGAAGACTTTTATCTGACATAACATTGAATACTTAAGTTTACCATCGAGAAACAATGAATGTTTTCATCAGTTGAGCTGAACAAGTCGAATCCATCTGTACTTCACTAATGAAAGAATGATTTAACCTGTCAGCATGTCATTTTTACTATAAATCAACTTAAAAAAATGATTAACATAATGGGCTGTCAAAATGTAAAAGAAAATAGAACTTCAATTATTCTACCAAATGAAAATACCAGACGCAAAATAATTCTATTTATCATTAAATGATAGTTGAAATCAATTTTCAATTAAAATTATCGAGGGTTAATGAAAACAAAAAAATCATCTATTCTTTGAATGAAATTGAAACAATTGCCTTAAACTCATTTCAATACATGATCAATAATTCCATTTTTCGTTTTGCTTGTTCTCGGTTGCATCTTGCTTTGGACAAGGATCTGCATGTTAATTAACAAAATTTATCATTGAATGAACTCCAATAGATCGAATCTCAAGCATTAAATTTTAACATCAAAAGATTCATTTTCTGTTTTGGATTCATGCTCTAACAAAATTAATATGATGAATAATGTTCTATTTTTTTTTGAGTAAACAAAAGGAGATTTGTAGGTACACACTAAAAGACCATGCAAATCTTTGAATGTTTAATTAGCTATAGAATTATTCAAGCTTAGAAATCAACATCATTGTAATCTTTTTTTAAAGAAAAGGATTTAATTTTCTGAAACTCTCAATTATTAAATTAATTCAATTTAAAAATTGCACACCTTTCAGGAGGTTGTTTTGACGCATACATCCACTATGATTTTATAATCGAAATGGCATCGCAGTGCGACATTACCTTTGAATTTGTTTGCTGATGTACAATACATAATTCCATTTTAAATGAGAGGATCGTTTCTCAAAAAAGAAGGATGATGATGATGTCGACATACATGCAACATTAAACAAGAAAAATTGCTAATGGCAAGAGCAAACGACGGCTGGGTTAGCACTGCAAAAAAAGATAATGTTCACGACTTTTGGACCAGTAATGTTCTCAAACGTAAAGTACCGCAACCTAAGGTATTTGATTTTGAATTTAATTATTATGAATTTAAAGAAATGGTTTTTATTTTTACTATTAGGTTCAAAGTTTGCCACCTTTGAATTTACGTTATGAGACAATTGATTTTACGGCTGATAAAAAATGGACTGATCAAGCACTAATTTCCACTCGAAGTGTTGACAATTTTCTAGCTGAATCCGATGCATTTCAACGAGCGTCTTTTGCAAATATCGTCGAAAAATGGAAGGAATATGAAAAGAGTAAAAGCGACCGTCTATTATCATCATTTGATGCTCATTATAATATGAAATTACGTTTTCGACATGATGAAAAATTAAATCGGTCGTCAGAAATGAAATATGCTGCGATGGCAAAATATTATCGATTCATAGGCAGTGAAAGTAATCCAAAAAATACTAAACCATGCCTTCGTCATAAACGTCTTACACAAGAATACGAAGAAAGACATATACGTGAATTATTAGATTTACAAACAACACCTAAATCCCGTAGTCGTCCATACTTTTTCCGAAAAGACAATGAACTTGCACCTATTGACACTGCTGCTCAAAGTTCAGCAGAAATTAGACCGTCCATATCCGTTGCTGAGCAGTCACATCATTCATTTGTTTAAGCTTAAGAATTTTTTTTTCTGATGTTAACAAAGATTTTTCACGATTTCTACAACGTCGTATTGTAGATACAAATAAAATATTTATAATATGTAATTCGTTTAGTAATAATTTTCGTCGCTTATGTAGTTTTATGGCATAAGTGCTTATTGAAATAAATGTTTGAACTTGAAGAATTAATGTTACGATGGACATTGATCGAAGTCCAATAGGAAATAATAGGTAACAGTTATCAAAGAGCGGAGAAAATATTTCAAAGAGTTTTCCAAAGTTTTTTTTACAAACAATATACAAGAAAGACATGATCCAATGTAGTAATCGAAAAAAAAAAGAAAGAGATAATTAATCGAAAACAGCCTATGCTTTCCTATTGTTAATCTACGCGCGTTGCAGTAAAACCTAGAGACTAGCACTTGATTTTTTATTAAATCTTATCTTGTAATTTAAGAACATTGAAAATTTTCACACTATAATAGGTTTACATTATTTTTATAACACACCGAGTTTTTATTTAGCATCATTCGAAGAACATAATGAAAAGTAGGCAATATTCTTGATGAAATTATTTTATCTTTTATGTGAAATAGTGAGTAGTTTTTCTTTCGAATAAGAAAAACTCAAATATCCATTTTAGAAATGTCAGTTGTAAAGAGAATGCCATTCACTCATAGATGCTACAAATTTATGAATAAAACAGTAATTACACTGTATTGTGAATAAATCTACGCAGCTAGTCATCTGTAAGCGTCACATTTATTCGTTTACGAACAGACGACATAGCGTTTCAATTATACTGTTTACAATTTTTTTCTCAGGGTCGATCCGAGTATTTTATACCCACAAATGCTTCACTATTGTCTACCATAAGGTTAAATCAATAGAAGAAACATTCACATGCCGACTACACTTCAATGTCTATGCAACTAGCAGTGATAAATATTTTTTGTCGTGTTCAGAGTTTCCAGTAAATATTTTACCTATAAACATGTAACAGAATGATTTAAAATAATCCAACTATATGAATTCACTGATAATGAAATGCTTCTATCCAGAAAAACAATATTTTTTTTTGTATCAATAAATCATGTCTTATGGAATATATTCTAGGACGATTTATTTGTTTTGCCAGTGAGGAAAAATATGTACTGCAATTAGTTTAAATAAACGAGTTTTTAATCATGTGGAAATATCTGAATCAATTAAAAAAAAACATTTCAATACCAATTTTGACAAAATTGCTTTTTCATAGCATTCACTATTATGCAGGATGCAATTATTTTAAAATTTAGGTATAACGAGACCCTGAATAGCAACGACTGAGGAATTGAATAAGAAGAAAATTTTGTTGACGTAGCATACGATCGAGATCTATTAAGACGACTTGAGTGTCTAAATTCTTTAGTAATGCTGCACTGTATAGAATCATGATAAACAGAAAAAAGTACATCGATTGATTATAATATTATTTGGCCTATAACATGGACTGTGTATTTGTTAAAAGTTGTGTATCTCAGTTTGCACACGTCATAAACAATAAATATTTGTGTAGTAGTTAGTTTCCCTTGAATGAATTTGAAAGTTTCCGTGTGCCTGAAAAATGGTGCAAAACAAATATCGAATCATTGTTGCTTTTCATATGATTGTAGAAGACCCAATTTGAAAACCAGTAGTAATGGTAATGAGTAATATCTGACATAATTAGTCAAAAATCTTCAGTTATTTCATTTATTGATTCATATAAAGAAAAAATTCTTGCTACTAACAAGCAGATATATTTTCCAGTGTAATAAAAATGACATATTATCAATATTTTTCACTTCACATATAATTGATATATGCTATGATGTTAACGTTACAAAATATACTAAAACATGTCCTTCATTGATCAGAATTCTCTAAAAACATGTCTAAATAATTTTTCATGTTAATATTCTCTTTTTCGACATTTTTCTTGTTTTTATATTTTTACGACCAACCATTTTGTTCCGGTACACAGCAATTTTTTCTGGTTGACTAAAATGTGTTCTTTCTTAAATAAAGTCTAGGAAACAATGCTATCAACTCGTCTAGTATACTATGCCATGTCTTTCTTTTCAAACATCTATTGTATGGTTGGTTACTATTCTGAGCTGTCGTTTTTCTTCTTCTTTGTCGTGGCCACAGCTTCAATAGAACGAAGAAAGAATGAAAAAAAAAATTCATGCTCTGCTGCAATTATAAAGAACTTCTCTATCGAAAGAGACATAGAACGGAGAAGAGAGAAAAAAAAGAAAATCAACTTTACCTCTTTCTATTTTTTCCTCTGTTCATACTTTTTTCTCTCATTCTGCACAGCCGAGTCTAGGTCAGCATTGCGCATTGTCGTAAGAATTGTTTTTTAAGTTCACGTTGCTTAACTTTTGATATTTTAATTTTCAAAACAGTTCGCAAACATTATTGGATAAATTTCTTTTATATTAGTTGAAATTACTGTAAATAAATTTTAATATACAAAACACATTATTAATTAGCGATTTTACACCTCCAACAACACTGAAAAATAGATAGCAACAGCTGGTACAAATAGGTCGAGTTGGTACCGTATGCTTCTGTGAAAGAATAAAAATCATGACTATTATTTCAGTAATGAATAAATCTTTTCTCGATCAGTTCTAAAATTAAGATACTTCGTACATTTTCTTTTTCACCTTGAATTATACATTGAAAAAGCATGATTTTATTCACTATAGAGTCAACTTAAATAGAAATCATGATTACAATAATCTACGGTCCATCGATTCTGTATTATGTATATGATTCGTTTTTTTTGTTCTTTTTTTTTACTCAGTTTCTTTTTCGCTCGCTTTTTTCATCCTGACGATACGATTGAGAAGAGCGAATAATATGGCGACGAATGTCCCCGAAAAAAAGAGAAAGCATACTTAATACGTATCGTTTGTTCTCGGTTGGTAGGCGTAAAACGGGCGTGACGATGTATGCTGCACGCCTTTTCGTTAGGCATGATAAAATAATCTTTTATATCATCACTAACGTATAGCAATGCACAGTATGATCCTTATTTTTTGTCGCTATGACTCAACATGGACAATAAAATAAAAAAATATGCGTCACAAGCCTTTTTCTTTCTCTTTTTCTTCTAATTTTCTCTTGAAACAGATTTTTTTTTATTAATAGAACAAATCTGTTACAAGAAAATTTTCTAAACAATTTCCTTTTTTATTTTATTTCAGAATATGCTCTGGTTAGTATATGGTACAGCAGGCTGGATTGGTGGGCAATGTCGTGATTTACTGCACGTTGCTGGTCAAAAAGTAATAACCGGTCGACGTATAGCAAGTTTAAAAGATGTCGAAGATGATATCGCCACATATAAACCTGATCGTGTTATTTGTGCTATTGGCCGTACACACGGTGAAGGTGTTCCAAATATTGATTATTTAGAAAAACCAGGCAAACTCAAAGATAACATGCGTGATAATCTATTAGCACCAATGTTTATTGCACAAGCTACAATGCAACATGATAAATTGAGTGCTCCCATTCCAACACTTTATTTTGGCACTGGTTGTATTTATGAATTGGAAAATTTACAAGATACAAGTCATCCATTTACGGAAAACGATCAACCAAATTTTTTTGGTTCATCTTATTCGACTGTTAAAGGTGCAACTGATTTATTGATTGATGCTTATCCACATGTAATCAAGTAAAATTATTGCTTTTATTTTTTTTTAATGTTTTCTCATGTCTGTTTCTACGTTGATATTTTATAGTGCTCGTATTCGCATGCCAATATCGGATGAACCGAATCCAAGAGATTTCATTACGAAAATTCTTGGTTATAAAAAAATTACATCGTTACCAAATAGCATGACTGTTATGTCAGATGTCTTACCAATACTTTTGGCAATTACACATGATGGTAAATTTGGCGGTCGAGTAAATGCATGCAATAAAGGATGGTTAGTTTATTTTCTTTTGTAAGATTTCATGTGAATGAAATTTTTATATTACTGTTTAGGGTCGATCATGATTGGATTCTTAAGACATATCAAGAGAAAACAGGTGAAATTTTGAACTATGAATTAGAGCCAGCTGAAGAACAAAGTGCACGTTTAGCAGCACGTCGTTCAAATAATGTTTTAACTACCGATAAATTAGAGCAATGGTTGAAATTGTTATCACCGGATACGCGCAAACTTTATTATACACCACATATTTTACCTGAATTAAAAAAATCTATTGAAGCGATATGTTTACACCGAGCAAACATGAAAGCGTCTTATACTCTAGAACAAAATGAAGTACGACGATTACTTGTTACTGGTGGTTGTGGATTTATCGGCAGTAATTTTATTAATTATTGGCTCAAAGCCTATCCTCAAGATTATATTGTCAATGTTGATAAACTTGATACCTGCTCGAATATACACAATGTTGAACAATCTGATTCGCCGAAATATAAATTAGTTGTTGCAAGTATTAACAATAAAGATTTAATGTTGCATTTAATGAAACAATATGATATTACACATGTTGTTCATTTTGCTGGTAAGATGCATGTGATGTAAAACGGTTTCGGGATGTAATAATTCTAACTCTTGAATTTGCGTCGACTTCGTTGATGTCAATCCTTTTGAAAATAGTACTGAATTTACATAAATCTAAAATAGTCAATTTTGAATGTGTCTGAGAATTGAAATTATTGTCTCCTCTAATCGTTTTTCTTTCACCTTACTTCACTTTATTTAGCACAAACACACGTGGATACATCATTTGGGAATAGTATTCTATTTACTGAATCGAATATTTTTGGTACGCATTGTTTACTCGAAGCAAGTCGAATCTATAATAAACTGAGGAAATTCATACATATTAGTACGGATGAAGTTTATGGAGAGTGGCCAGCAGGTAATTGAATTATATTAAAATAAAAGTTTCTTAAATACAAAGAAAAATCAAATAAATTTATTGATTTAGGTAGTTGTCATGAAACAGCTGTGCTCAATCCAACAAATCCGTATGCAGCAACAAAAGCAGCGGCTGAATTTCTTGTTAAATCTTATGGTGAAAGTTTTAAATTACCATATGTTATAACACGTGGCAATAATGTCTATGGTCCATATCAATTTACTGAAAAAGTCATTCCTCGATTTATTACATTGATAATGAATGACGAAAAAATGACCATACAAGGTGATGGAAAACAAGTTCGAAATTTTATCTATGTCACCGATACCGTACGCGCTGTTGATCTTGTTATTCGCAAAGGAAAACTAAAAATGATTTATAACATTGGTTCAAAAGATGAAATTAAAGTTATGGAAATAGCTACAATACTTCTTAAATTGATGAAACCAGAAGCTAAAGTTGAGGATTATATTATTTATGTGAAAGATCGCTATTTTAATGATTGTCGATATTCAGTCATGACCGATGCACTTGAAAGTTTAGGTTGGAAACAAGAAATTAAATTTGATGAAGGTATTCGTGAGACAATTAAATGGTATCAAGAACATCCTGATCATTGGCAGAATGAGGCTACTTAAAATTTACAATAATTCATTCTTATTTCAATTGCTAAGCTCCCAATTAACAATTATTTAAAACAGAACAGCAAAAAAAATAACTGTTGTTTATCTAAATTAAATGTTCTTGTTTTATTGAGATAAATGACTTTTGATTTCAATAGTATATTTTAAATTGTGCGACACATAAAGATTGGTCGATACTATAGAGAGTGCAGATCATCCATTCTTATCAGTATCACTTATTGGAAAGGTAAACATGGACACAGAAAACTCTGTGTTGATGTAAACTCATTCTATGAGTAATCGATATCGATGAGATTAGTTTGCTTGTGTTTTTTTCAAATAAATTTCATGATATAGACGTCATGCGATATTAGAATAGTTTGCTCGATCTCATTTTGTAAAGCGCGATGAGTGATGCCAATCGTGATCATAGTTAGCGTTCATGTTGGGATATACAGTGGAGTGCAAAAATAATTGCTGTTAGTATTTGATAAAGTTACTCCACTGAACATGATGCATATTAAAAGTTTTTTTTTTTTTTATAAATAGATTATGCATACAAAAGAGTACACAAATATAGTAATCAATAGTTAGCTCTTTTCTCCTTCAATCAAAAAAGCAGTAAACATTATAGCTTCATCGATACACTCAAATAACTTAGGATCGCTTTGCCTATGCACATGGATTGTCTTCTAGCCTAAAAGGTGTATTTGGAGAAGAGTGAAAGAAGCTATGAACCTCCTTTTGGATCAAGATCCAATAGCCTAAGTTTCAGCTCGATACGATGTCTTCTCAATTTTTAAAGCGGGAAAGAAATGCGACACCACCTGCTCAAAATTTGACCTTTATTTGACGCTGAAGATGGATTTTCAGAATTTGTTCATTTGGGACAAAATTTTATCTACTAGCCGATGTCTGTCTGGTATGAAAATTTCAAGTCGGTCAGACAAGTCGTTGTCGAGATAGTTTGAAAATCTGGTCCAAGCGCCATTTTTCTGGTAATTCTACGGACCGTGATCTTCCGTTTGTTTTTACAATGCCGTGCCGTTGGAACTCATTTGTATTTCGTTAGATATTATGGCCGTAGAGCTACTTTAAGAAGACGATTTTCGTAGCGCCACGATTGCCCTAGTCGTAGTAGATATGACCCAAACAAATGCGTAGGTGCAACGGCAAATGTTTTTGCTCTCCACTGTATATGCATGTGTGTGCTTTCATTGTTGTTAAAATCTGCTGGCTTACGTGTACAAATGAACATCTTTTAATTTTTTTTCGAATAAACCACATAAATGTAGCGTTTGTTAAAGTCATTTCAGCCCTAAGAACTGAGTTCATGCCAGGTACATTTCAGATTATGTCAAACTTTGAAAGTATCCCAGAAATATTGTAACGATCCAATTCTAGGGAAATAATAATCCACAAACAAGCAACTCAAATCGTACTTCTGAATCATGGGTACAGAAGTCTGTTTTTATTATTCATGTGGGGGCAAAGAGCGACGAACTGATCATTGAAAAAAACTTTCTAAAAATGAGAAATCTATTTATGTAAAAGCTATTTTTTAATAAAAACAAAATCTCACTAAAAATCATGTTCATTTCATGGTCGACACCTTTGAAAGTTCTTTTGAACAAACAAAAATTAATTATTTGTGATGAAAATTCAGTGAGCTACGTGATTAAAAACCATCTGAATATAGATTAAAAGAAAAATATATTTGATTGAGTTCTACATAACGAATTTGCTGGAAATCTTCTACTGAAATAAATTGAGATTTGTCGAATATCTTGTTTTAATACGACGTTTATTTAACTTAATATTTGTCTCTTTGACAAGGATCGATTTATTCGAAAGAGAAAGGTCCTAAAGAGAAACCTGTAAAAATAATATTGTTCATCACGATTATAGATCATAAAAGTTCTCATCAGGTATTAAACAATTAATTATTTTAAATCAATCTTAAAATATATCGAAAATTGTTCGTCAGTAAAGACTCATTACGAATGTTAATTTACGATTAAAATATACAATATTTTTCATATTCAATAGAATAATAAAATGAATATTAAAAGATTTTATAGTAGATTACTGGTCAATACATTTTCTTGTGCAAAATTTTGCTTTTCTCTCATCGGTACAATGGTGTGTACACCGTTCCGTTTTTTTGTACATGAATATATGGTTTCTGCTCTCTCCCTTGTTTGTAGTATTTACCGTTTTCATAGTATCTGTATGTTTAGTTTTTCTTAATTTTCTATGGCCACCATCAAGGTATCTTCCATTTTATCTAGGCATCCGTTTTGATAGAAGCTTCGTATGAATCATTCCGATTGGAATCCTCAGCCGTTTCTTGTCTCTATCACTTAAAGATTCTCTGTGTGATTTTTTTTCTCTCATCATTCAATATTAGTTCTTTAAAATCTTTTATTCATTCATTTTTTTTAATGGTTTTCGAGTAATTAACATATTCTCTAGGTTAATATAAATAAAAACTTGAATGGTTTATTTTCAATACAGACAAAACACATAGTTAGAAGTAATTCTTGTAGCTTCGAATGCAACTGCTATTGAAAGTTGCCTTATGCATATAAACTTGATCTGTAATCTATTAAGTCGACAAGTATACCTTTTCATCTCTCAAACTCTCTTACCAATGATATGTTTTTCTAGAATGAAAGATAGATTCAATGTCAAATTTGTAGTTTTTCTAAAGCAATATGCGTATATTAATAAAAACAAATAGTCGTATGTTCGCATTAAGCTGAAGATTGAAACACTGCTGCATGTATCATCTGAATAAATTTGCAATGCAATAAAATTGACATGCACTCGAGAAGTGCATGTACTCTCAACAGGGGATTCGATGAATAAACTTTGTCAATAGAGTTTGAATTTTAATTTATATACAAGAAAAAAAATTAATCATTTACGAAATGAAATCATCATGCTTAACAAAAAAAAAACAGCTAGCTAATATTTTAGTAATATTTTCGAAGATAATGTGATAGAGTTGATCTAACATCTTTGGATGATGAAATCGGCAATAAACGACGAGATTGTGATGATCGATAGAGTGTTGGCAGTCGGAATGGTATACATCCGTCCTTCTCTTTATATGATAGTCGTGAAGGTGAAGGTGATGTGTTTATTGCATCTAGCTTACACAATAGTTGCTCAATTTCATCATCGGATGGACTTGGTGGTGGAGCATAATGAAGTTTATAATTATTCATTGAATCCTCGTCATTGATTATTGGCGTTACTGTTTGAAATTCTGGTTTTACGCCACGAGCAGTCAATTGAGTGAAGTCAGTTTGATTTAAATTAGATGCAACTGGATGAAAGAGTGATTTACGATAAGCGGGACGTTTTTTCTTTGGCCGATAATGATGTTCATCGTGATGAATATCTTTCTCAATTGCTGGTAAGATGATTTCGTCTAAACGCTGACGTCCGGTGTATGGTATGATCGATTTGCCGGTTGCTACTAGATGTTTACTAGTATAAACATCGACCGAAAGAGTCTTTAATTCCAAGCTACGTTCATCATTACTATCGAGAGCAGAATAAACGGGACGAGACCGTTGTACAAAATTAAGAGGGACTCGTTGGCGATTTGTTGTGCTAAAAGCATTTGATTGTTCTACCAATGTCATCGGTTCACGCATAGTTGTATTGTTGTCGTTAAATATATATATATATATTTACAACGAGTAACTACATGATGCGATGTTTAAATGAAAAATAATAAACGCTTTCGTTTCCAGTTTCGAAAATGAAGAAACAAAAATGAAAAATTAGAAAAGAAGAATGGAGTAAAATATTGTTTTTTTTCTTTTTGTTACAAACAATATAGTTCTCAGAGTTTTTCGTGTTTGTCTGTGCAACAATTTATGACTGAAAAAGATTGAGGGGGCACTTACATCGAGTTGCTTTGTCACAATCGATTGAATGAAAGCATAGAAGCAAAAAACGAATGAGAAAAAAAACGAAAAAAATTGTTTTGTGACAAAATTCATGCTGATGCATGGAATCTTGACTGAAGTATTTGCACTTCATTAGTTTTTTTACGTGTTTTCTTCTTATTAAACTTTTTAGAAATATATTCAATGCTGCTTTTTAAATGAAATAATCATTAGCAAGGTTTTATTAGAAATCAACAAATACGCGAGTATTTATAATTGTCATCATTATGAAAATGTTCCTTGATGATTATGATACGAAAAAAGATACCTACATCATTTGAAGAAATCTGATCTAAAAATGCTTCTGCGTTTAATATTTCTGTCCGTAGCTACCAAGAATGTTGTTGTTCTTTTGTTAAATTAACTAAAATGGATAGAAAAGTGATCACATTTTGTTTGGTGTACGTTGGCAGAGATCAAATAAATTCTGAGAAAAAAATCACTACTTGTTTGTGAACAGATCCTACAAAAGAAAACTGAAACAAGACACATAATCTCAAAATCAGAGCCATATGAACACAAAAATTGGCAATGAAGCAGAATTGATTATTGCAACTTAATCTACAGAAATTTACAAGCAAAAGAAATGCCAGGGGAAAGCGATTAGTCATATTATGATTTATGTTGAAAATAAAGCACTATGACAACTATCAATGATAACTGAAGAAAAATGCTTTTGAAAGTGGAGTAAAATTTACATCTTATATCTATGTTGCAAAGTCAATAATGATTTTTGTAGATTTAACTCTATAGAAAATATAGAAAAAACTGAAATATATCATTGGCAGCTGCATCCTAAATGGGAAGATTCTCATTTGGCTTTAGCTTTTACCCCTTTTTTTATTTTCAATTTTCCATATAATCTGCTTCGCGAAAAATGAAGTGCTGAAACAGTTTTCATCAGATATTAATTCATAAAGTTGATGTATTAAACTGTCCTATAGTAGAAAAGCAGTTCCATTTGTTATAGATATGCAAGTTCAATTTTGTGATACCTATTGCGGCATTGGTTCGATTGTCTGACTTGCTCAACTGATCTTCTCAAATATATAATCAAATAACACTGAAAAATTTTCTAAATTATGATCTTACAACACCAAAAAAGGATGAAGGTTACTTCCTTGTTTCTGATACGGCTATATCCTAGTTGTTTTTTAATTTCTGTCCTTATTTTGCTTGCTCATTTCTGATCTTATTTCTTTCTACACATTTCACTTGCAACAAGCTAAAAACTCAAACATCATTCTTTTACTCTCTAACAAAGAACAGCTACAAAGCGTGCTCATGGACAATACTTTGAACAGTCCTTGTCATCATTTTTCTCTTTCAATTCTAACTATCTATATAGGAAGTTCAATTTCATCCTCATGAATGTCTAGATTTTTCTATTCTCATGAGCTTGTTTATTTGAACACCTTTTGAACTAATAAAATAAACAAAGTGAAAATGGTCACCGTTTTTGGGCTCATATAATTTTTATATTTCTTCAACCATTTAAGTAGGGTGAACTGATGTAGTTTCATCAATGTCTTTGCATTGTCAACTTCCAAAAATTTCCGTAATTGATTGAATTCTATGTGTTGTGTGAATCCTTTTTCCCAGCATGACGGTTATTTTGCCTGTGCATTTACGGGTCGAGTTCAAAATTGCTTAAATGAGTAAACTACTCAATAATTTTGAACACAACTGCTTTAAAACTATATACCAGTATTTTATTTACAACGTGTGTGTAAACGAGTGAATAATGAAACGAAAAACTATTCGTAAATTCAAGCTATCGCATTGAATGCATTACGTTCGGGTACAGTGAATGATACCACCGGAAGGTAAGTAAGAATAACAGTGATAGTTGTTGTAACTGTACACGATATTGAGGTCGTCAGTTTTCAATTTTCTTCTCAGCTATAGAAAATTTGTGCACATACAAACGTTTTAGACGACACATGAAATGACTCTGATGCATGCTTGATCTAATTGAAGGATGATTTATTTCTCTTAAAATTTCGAAAAAAATATGCTATTCAAACAGCTGAGTAGAATACAATATAATAGATATTTTGTATCTTCATAAAACTAAGTTTGTGGATGAAGACTTATCATATTAAAAGCTATCTAAGACAACCGTTGCATTGTCAATTTTTTATAGTAGATTTTATAAAGAAAACTATTAATACTTCATCATTCGATTAGATAAATAAATTAGCTAATAATCAATAACAAAACTTTTTACATCAGAAGATTATATATGCATGAAGAATGTAAAAGGAATAATTCGTATTGACTTGTGTGTTTAAATAACAATGTCGAAGAAAAACTTGTAATTTATTTTCTTTTGTATCGTTTCATTTTCGACCAAACTTGAGATTGCTTATTTTGGATAAATTATGAGTTTCGATAAGAGATCCGAGACTAGCCGCGGTGGTGCGAGTTGGCATCTTTTTAGCGAGGCGAATACGAGTCGATTTTGCAACTCGCCTACCTGCAATATAATTTTTTATTAATAAACGGTAAATCTTTATTGTAGTTGCGGAACCAGGGGTGGACCAAATGGGGCTTAGCCCCCACCACCGGAACTTCAAGTCCCCATCATCTGGATTTTAAAAACCCTACCACACTGACTTTGAAGTAACGTAGATTTTCAATAAAAATAGACGAAATTCAATTAGGACACTTTTTCATGAATCTTTAGCTATTGAGAATAGATGCCTCTAATTATAAATTGAAAGTAATACAGTTCCATCTTTCTATCAAAACAATAATGAGAAATACAATGACTGATGATCGCCTAAGTGATTTGTATTTATTAGGTATCGAACGTGATATTGATATAATTGTGCAACAACTTATTGATAAATTCTCAGATATTCATAGCATAGTCGGATTATGTTGAAATAAACAATTATTTTTTTCTTTTAATAATATTTTGACCGTAGACTTGAACCAACTGATAGCTCATCAAGATTTTCAGGGCATAAACATAGATTTTTAAATTGATTTTAATGCTATGCTTGAGAGTTCATTGATGCGAATCTCCACACACAAATGGGGGAAGTGCCTGAAAATAGTAAGTACAGCCTGTTGGGTCCAATACTTTTTGAATCGGATCCTGTCTAACGGTAGTTGTGTACTGTTAGTAAAATATTCTAATCATAATAAGAGAGTCGATTCGACGATAAGGAATGCTTTTTCTCCAGTTTCATCCTGAGTGATGAGCGCACGAATATGTTTTTAGGACCATCTTCCCTGCTAGAGCCCGCCAAACAGCCCAATATTTTTGGACCCAGAATCCGATTTCGACCCGGTGAAAAATTTATTTTAAAATTCGACCGGCTCGAGTGTTAAGCCGGTGGGGGGGGGGGCGGGCTAAGCCCCACCAGCCTAAATTGTGAGACCCGAGATGTCGTGATATGCTGTTTTTAGACAAAAAAAATTTTGAAATGCTAAAAATAAAATAATAATTTGGCGCTGTGAAAAAGTTTCAGGAACGAGAAACGTGGACGAGAATATAGAAATTAAAATTTTAAAATTTTCTCTGGAGTGGGAAAAAATTTATTTTACGGGAACGGGAAACGGGAACCAAGAAAAGTCGTTCCCACAGGGCCCTACTATTTACTGAGGGTAGCAATTTCTTTTTACTTTCAGAAAGGAAAGGATAAGAAAGTTTTTCCTCTCTTTTTTCTCGGAAAGGAAAGTTATAAAGAATGTTGAATGATCCGCTATAAAAGCTTTCTTATGCAAGTTTTCCGTTTAATGAAATGAAGCCCTAGCCGATATATAGTTAACATTTTCAAATGTGTTGCTTTTATTCTCTTGCTTTATCACTCTCGTTCTACCAATTTCTCACTGCCCAGGCTAACCTTTTCTTTCTTTTGCTGTGTTCAATTGATCGTACCTGTTCTTCTATATTTCTTGAGGAGTCTCCATGCCGCCGTTATGAGCCTAAGTGGGTTCCAACTATTACGTATATGCTAGAAGAGTTGAGCTTACTGTAGACTTTTCACATGGGTCTTAGTGTGAGGGTGGGTGTGGGTGTTGGTACAAGTGTGGGTATTGCAGACTTAAGTTTCTTGTATTGTATTGTTTATTGTTTATTCTCTATTCTTCCATTATCGAACATCTTTCAAGCCAAGGAATCGAACCTTCTGCTATTTGACTATAATCAGATGCATAGAACCACTACGTCATCCTTGGCAGCTGCCCTCACACAAACTAGGGGTCACACTTTAACTTTAAATTGACTGTCAAGCGTAGAGTTTAAAGTTGTTTAAAGTCACACTTAAATGCTTCTTTTTGGCGGTTTATCTGTTGCAGTGAGTCTCATAAGCATGACTAAATACGTCAGTAAGGTAAAAAGTATTAAAAAGAATCATTTAAAGGCGACTTTAAATAGCTTTAAACTTTACGGTTAAAGTAAAGTTAAAGTTAAAATGCCACTCCTAACACAAACACTCACATTTACACCGAAAGTCACACTTTCAACGGCACCTGCACTCATAGAGTGTTCAGTCTCTTTTGTTTTAACTCAAGTTTTCCCCTCATTTAGGGATGTGATTAATTCTCTCGCTTGTCTTTCTTGTGTATTTAAGATTTTGCCGTTTGAAATAAACAAAAAAAAAGGAACTGCAAAGAATGATTGAAGAAGTCTCTGAAACTGAATGTGGTGTTGATGGAAAATGGCCATGCAGACATTGTGGTTGTCCAGCATACAGGGGCAATGGAAATGGTATTTGCCATTGTGGCCATTCTATAGATCAACACAGCCAAGCGTATTAGTGTCCGATGCTAAAACACAAACTATAAGTTGGTCTTGAAAACTAACTCGAAACCTATTCCCAATTAAAATACGGCAAAACCCAGAGCTGTCCTGCGCAATTGAATGTTCCTTTTGTTTTTGAAATCTTTTTTTCCCGCTGCTGTAGTTATCCAAGAATAATAAAACGCTTAAGCTATTCTATTATTTTAATGATTGTAATTAAATCTGACCTTGTAATAGAAGATCCCCTCGGAGCGATTGCTGTATAGCTGTGTGAAGAAGTTTCAATTTTGCACTCACCATTGTGAGTGGTTATTCTGTTTCATCATTTTCCCCATATAGCATGCACATACAAATGCTTCTGCTTGTATATTATTTATGAGTCATTCGTGGCTCAATCCCCATCCTGTGTGCTGCATTCCTTCCATCATATATGAAAAAATAAACTGTGAACGACCCAAATCGGTTAAAAGCAGTTTTGTGTTTTTCGTGGTGAAAATTACCATGCGCTTTGCCTAGGGAAAATCTTTGGTGTTTCAGCACCACATCTTTGACAGATACAGTCAGGATCTTGCAAGGATTCGCTATTTTTTCCTGAGGAAACAACTTAATCCTGAAAGAAGTATGTAGCCACGACGGAAATTTAGGATCCTGACAGGATTCGAATCAAGATTTTCAAGAATCCTGACAAGTTCACCGTTGTTTTTTAAATCACGATTGAGCCAGAAAATCAATGATTCCTTGAGGGTGTGGGTGAAGAATATACCCGAACCGACACCCACACCCTGAAATCTGCTTGAATGTTAAGTTTTAAATTGCAAGCCTATAATATCCAGATCAATGAATGCAATACCGGATTCTAACAGAATTTCGTCGCCCTTTTATAAATTCACATAGAATTCAACTATTGAAATTGATTCTCTTAGATATGAAATATTCTATTTTGTTTGAACTAAGTCAAAATTTCCAATAACATTATTATAAGTCGAAATTCAATTGCATGCAAAGAAATTCCTTTTAGACGTTCTTTTAACACAATCGAGTTCCTCAAATTCATAGATTCCTAATTCAAAACACAGTGTACCATATTTATCGATGGTACGTTATCAGTGTAGGTTTTTTGTTCTTTTTATTTATTCTCTTAGTCGTTGTCTACACATATCCAAGAATAAACTAATGCGACGCTTGCAACAGCTAACACAAGAAAAATAAGCATCTTCTAAATTCTTTTTTATCATTATTTCCTGGATATAAATCACCATGAAACCATCAAAAGTTTTCTTTCAAACATTATTGAGCTTACTCGTCGACAACAATACAAATGAAACAACACTTTCCTATATTTTATAACAGTTCATATCGATTAAACTGTGACGAATCGATTGTATCTACGAAAAATTCAATTCTCGGAATAGATCAGATTTAAAATTAGAATTAACTGAGAATTGTTGAAAAGTGATTAGTATTAATAATGAAATGATAGAGCATGAATTTATTGATTTCAGTATCTTTTGGATACGGACTCTTTCCAAAAATCTATAGATTCTCGATACTTGCAGTCACATGTTCATATCAATACAAAATCAAAACTTTTATAAGTAGATATTCCTTTTGTGAGTGTTCTTTTATTATCGAATGTATCTCTTCTTTTTGAAACATTATAAAAAAAAATGTACGTAGCTTGTATTCTAAACAGAGAGTATTTAATACTTCTTAATTATTTATTTTTGATGTCGAGAATCGATTTAATCTGAATATAATATCGAAAAGAAGCTGAACAGGATAAATGTGCGTCAGATCTCCCAGTGACTATACTAAGCAATGTCATACGAATCAGTCTAACATATTATAGATATCAATAAATTATTTCAGTTCATAATCAGAAGTTGAAGTATAGTATCTTCAGCATTTATAAAAGTAAACTAATTTTACGATCCTGGATATTCACATAAAAAAAAGTATTTCTCTATGCTTTGCACACAGATAGACTTTCACTAAAATTGAAAACGTGTTCACCAAATATCTGTTTTACTAATATTCTATACCGATATATTTAATCATTGATATTTAAACATCAAATAGATATTAAATACGAAAACATGCCACTCTTAACTATGCTTATATTTTGTACTACTGTTTTTCTTGCGCAAAGTATTACGTACAACATTACTAATTCAACTAAAAACTGGCAAACTATTTTAGCTAATCTCGAGGCGGGTGACGTTGCTGTCATGAAAATATGGCATCTATGCAACATCGGGCTCTGGTTACTTTCGATTGACTCTGAATGGTGATCTCACTAAACCAATTATCATCCGAGGAGCACCCAATCAGCCACGTCCAATTATTCAGTGTTCTCAAGCGGTTACAAGTGCTCAAAATATCATGATAAAAGGAATAGCATTTACCAAAGGTTCGCGAGGAATTCGTATCGAACCAGCAAGTAAATAACCCGATGTTTATTTTTGCTTTTCACTATCTCATTTTTTTTCAAAACTTAACATCTAGCTACAACAAATGCAATCTTTGACAATATTTACATTTACAATACTATTGGAACATCATTTTCAGCCGACGATATGGGCAATGAATACGTCAATAGAACATTACGAAACAGCGAAATCATGGACTGGTTTCCAAGTGAAAGTAAACCTCGATTCAAGTTATTTTATTCAATAAATTTGCATTTCTTTAGTCTGGCTCATACAATGTTGTCATACGCAATCATGTTTGCTACAATGTTGTTGAACCTTGTATGATTGTTTATGATGATTATGATCGTGGACGGAATTTAATTGATGGGAATTTAGCGATCAATGCTGGAACAGATGATCTTGAAATACAATGTACATCGGGAACGACAATCACTAACATTGTTGTGATTAATGCCAGTATGTAAACAATTTTGTGACTTGAAAAACGTCGATGGTACTCTTTTGAAAAGACTTGTAAATTCATGTAATAAAAGTAGCAAAGGATTATTTTCAATTGAATATTTTCGACAATATGTTGTAACACATAGAACAATTTTGAACAAAAACCGAAATTCTGACAAACATAAGATTTTGTTTTCTTAGGCTTTTTCTTCTGAAGATCATTTTTTTTGTAATAGAAATCAAATACAACAAGCTAAAAACAATTGTTGATTGAATTGATTTTTCGATCATGAGATCTTGCTGAAATTGGCGTCATACAGAACTCAATTAATCCTACTATAAAATATACTCGAAATATAACCATTAGTGGTAATACTGTTTATATGTCTCGATCGGACGCATGTCTTCGATTGAATGGCGTTACAAATAAGAATATTACAATTTCAAACAATGTTCTTGATTGTGAAAATCAATAATCAATCAAAGCAACAAATAATCTACCAGGCAAGTCTATGCAGAAAACTAGCAATATCCAGTAATGTCTTCGTAAGCGCTGCAACCACCAATCTTTATCCAGCAGTAGGATCTCCGTTGATTAATAAAGGTATGAATCGACTGTATCTAGTTCTTTTTGATTGCAATGGTATTGATCGATCTATGTCAACACCAACTATTGGTGCACATGTAAGAAGGACAGAAACTTATTAATTCAACGAATCGTTAGTAACTCACTATATTTCTCTACTCTTTAGGAATATTCTACTACAAACAATTCTAGTTGTATGATAACAAACAGTGGTTCATCTACTGCTGCAGTACCACAATATCTTTTAATCCGTTGAACGTTGACATCATCTGATAAGAGTTCTTTTTACCACTTTAATTTCAATACAATATATATATATACATTGCAGCGAGTATTGTCTAAATAAATCGTATACATAAAATCAAATATTTAAAAAGAGAGAGAGAGCAACGAATTGTATGTGAGATTTAGAGTTATGCAATTAGTATAACATGCCTATATAATATCATTTACTTATTGTCTGATTGAGTATCTTCATCTAGTTTTCAGCAACTTGAGATTTTATCTTCGATTCAACATGTTATTTTGATCAGGAAAGTTAATTAAAACGCAATAAATTTTATTAAATAAGAATTTTTTAAATCAAACTAAGATAGAAATATTTAATAACCAGTAGCATGCCCATCTGCTCTTGGATCAGAACCGGCTGCCCAAACTAATTGATTTTCATCATTGTCTAGTTTAGCAATAATTTGACCCCGACCAAATATTGACCGATGAACTCCTTTAACTAATCTTACATGATGCCCATATGATTTAAGTTTTTCAATAACTTCTTCCGAAATGCCATCTTCTAAAAGAACTTCACTTGGAATATTGTCATCTGTACTATTGCCATACGGTGCATCAATACAAAACCGAGGAGCATCGAGTGCAGCTTGAACATTCATATGGTAACGAACCATATTCATCAACACTTGCAAATGACCTTGTGGTTGCATAAATCCTCCCATGACACCATAACAAGCTAATAAATCACCATTTTCATTAGTAATCATCGAAGGAATAATTGTATGATATGGTCTTTTACCAGGTTGAATACAATTTGGATGACCTTCTTCTAAAATAAAATTACTTCCACGACTATGTAACGTAAATCCACAATTATTTGGTATAGCTGCTGTGCCAAATCCTGTATAATTTGAAAAAATAAATGAACACGCATTTCCTTGTGAATCTGTTACAGCAAAATAGACAGTATCAGATGAATTTACTGGTTTACCATGTTGTAAATTTTTATTAATAGATATTGGATTAAAATTTTCAGCACGATTAGCTAAATAAGTTGATGATAATAATTCTTGAACAGGAACATGTTCAAAATCTGGATCAGAAACAAAATAACTTCCATCAGAAAATGCTAAACGAAGAGATTCAATTAAAATATGAAGATATTCAGCTGAATTATGTTCAACATTTTCTAATGAAGGAATTTTATTTTGTTTTTGAATTTGTTCTAATATTCCAATAGCCATAAGTGCAACAAGACCTTGTCCATTTGGCGGACATTCCCATATTCGAATACGCTGATTATTATTTAAACTATATGAAATACTAATCGGTTCAACAGGTGTTGATCGATGTTCGGATAAATCTTCAAGTGTCATTAAACCACCTTTACTTTGTATTAATTCTACAATAGCTTCAGCTATCGGACCTTTATAAAATCCATCTCGACCTTTATCAGCTATTTCTCGTAATGTTTTAGCAAGTTTAGGCATTGTCATTATTTGACCAGCTTTTGGTGCTTTTCCATTTCTAAGCATATCATTTCCATTATCCGATGCTTGTTTAATTGATTGTTCTGACAAGGCCCAACTATGAGCAGTTATTTCTGAAACTGGATAACCTTCTTCAGCTAAACGAATAGCAGGATTAAAGATTTCATTTAACGTTAGATTTCCTGAACCAAATAATTTAATTGTCTCAATAAAAGCATCAACAGCACCTGGAACTGTAACTGCATTTAAATTATTGAATGGGATGTGTTTTTCTCTTATTCCCATTTGTCGAAGTTTATCTAATGTTAAATTTTTTGGACTTCGACCACTTCCATTTAAAGATGAAATTTTTTTTGTTTGATTATTATAATATAAAACAAAACAATCGCCACCAATACCACATGAACAGGGTTCAGTGACATTAAGAGTAGCTGCTGTCGCAACAGCTGCATCAGCTGCATTACCACCTTTACGTAAGATTTCTAGGCCAGCTTGACATGCTAAAGGTTGTGATGATGAAACGATACAATGTGTACCATATACGACTGACCGACGTGATTTAAAATTTAAATTTAAATCATTATTAAATTTAATATATTCATTATTTGCCATTTTTCTTCTTCTAAAATTACAATACGAGTTTATTTTAGATATCAGATTATGAGAAATATTATTTGCTAGTATAGATGTCTCTCTAACATTTTATCATTATATATGTTGAAATAGGAGAAGAACTTTAAAAAATGCTGAATTTATCTTAGATAACAAAATGCATCAATTTAAGAAAGAATAAAACATCAAAAGATAAGACAGAAAAAATAATTGAAAGCATCATTTTCGTTAGCTTTTATTATTTGCTGATATTAGCTAGTTTTAATTGTAAATTACATCATAATGTAGAAAAATAAATGGCATTCATATTTCATTCAAAAGAAATAATTTTGAACAATATTTGTGAAGTTTGTCCCTATAAATAAATACATCATATTGATATCTATCAATTGAAAACAAATATGAGTTCATAAAATTTGGTAAATAATCCAGTTGCATGAATTTTATTTTTCGATCAGACTTTTGCAACGCTCTTTATTTACTAGGGGTGTCAATTTACAGTTTATTTAATCGGCTTGTCCAAACGTAACGCTGTGACATTTTTGAGACACTCTTTTTCAAATATCTCAAAAACTATAATAGCTAGAAAGTTGGCTCAAACGTCATGCGATGCAGCTCGTCGAATTATATTTTCAATAAAAGATTGACGCTTCTCCATTGAAGCCCTTAGTTTACAGAAATTGTTTATAGTCGCGTAACACTGTGACAAAAAAGGACCCTTAACTCGGAGTGCTCGAGCTTAGCTTTCAATTTCCTGCGAATGGTAACCTCCAAATAAAATGGACCTGAAACCAATTTTGTAGAGCATGAAATGAGCTTTCGAATGGTAAAAAGATCTTGTCTTCTAATCGTTATCATTCACTTAAAAAAGTAAAAATGGAAACGTAACGCTGTGACACTTTTTCTCGTGAATTTAACATCTACTTTTTAATTAATGTTGATTCGTCTTAATCAGTTGTTTTTACATATTCATACAGAACTTTTCTACGACTTTTGTCACTAAAGACCTTATTAGCACCTATAAACGTCTATAAGATCTGTGTCTGACTTGAAAATTTTGCATCCAGTCAACTATACTACTGGTAAGTATTCGAAGTTTTCTTGGAGACTCTTAGCCACTAGAATTCAAGCGCTTGAGATCTTAGAGACTAGTGTTTATCCAGCTTGGGACGAAGACCCGGTCTCCTTTGAGCTGGGTAGTTTTTTGTTTTTTTTATTTCAAAGTTTTATCCTATCAAGTTATTTTTCAACATTTCGAGTAATATATCTTTTCGTAGTTTTCCTTTTTTCAACATTTTTGCCTACATCAATAGAACCGTGGTTAGAAAAATATTTTTCTCTTTTTTTCATCTCATCATTAAAACACACAAAGAAAAAAACAACAATACCTAAAAGTAAAAGTAGTAGCAATTATGAAAACCTATGTACAATCAATACTTTACTCTTTTTCTTTGAGCACACATAGAATAATAACTAACCTCTAATTCATTTTCATTAACTACTTTAACATAATGCATCTTTTGTGGTTCCGGGACAGATTTTGCTGTTTTAAAAATATTTTCCAGTTTAATTTTCGATTTCTGAATTTCGTCAATTTTTATTTCAGTAACAATTATTTTATCAGTTTTCTTTCTTGCGAGTTTAATAAAATCTTCAACTGACCGACATACATCTCCCGCTAATATAGCTGACCAAACAAGACGTTTTACAACACCTACAATACCATCGACTACACCTTTGCCATGAGAAGTTGCAAAAAAATTCCACCTCAAATCAATGTTTCTCTCGTTTGCAATACTCGTTAAATTTCGAAAATGATAGCGCTGCTTGAACTGGGAAGCAGCACCATCAGAAAAACAATTTATTTCTGTAACATTTGGAAGAACTGATTCAACATGATTTAAAATAATTTCCAAAGCGGAATTCACAACAAATGTATCATGTGTTACATCCGATGATGGTAAAGAAAAAGAAAAATTTTCCGTTTTCGACCAAACAAAAGCAGTAAATATACTCAATGATTTTGAGTTCCAATGAGCTTGCTGGATCTCGTCCTGCTCTTTCATACTAAAGTTCTCGGCAAAATCAACTTGTAATACAACTTTTTCATCAGTAACTTCAGTTTTTAATTTTTCGAAATACCTTGATTGCTCTCGTTTGATATATACGTGAAACAAAAGACATTCAACTCTCGATTTTAACAAGAGAACTGCTTCATCAACAGTTCCTGAAAACTCTTTTTTTTCTGCACGACCACATTCATTCATCCATTGTGACCAAGTTATTTTAGCACTACCATTTGACACCTGTTCTTCAACCTTATCCGAAAAGAAATTTTCACAAATTACACAATTGTACCGATATTGATGGCACGCTTCGATGATTGCCCTTCCTCTTCCTTCTATTCTCTTTCTATTATTATAATATATATCTCTCCTGTCTCTCTTCTATCTCTCTCTCCTATATATACGTGTGTTGTGTATGAAGTTGTTACACTCTGGGTATGTGAATAAACGAATAAACATCATTGCCGTGAGTGGCTGTAAGCTACTCCACCTCTATCCAGTTTGTCAATACGATATAAACTCAACAGAGTCTTATTGATCGTTACAACAATAACCAAACATACAATCTTCGTTATTAGTACTACAAACCAAACTATTAGTAAATGTTTCTAAAGACGAACAATAATTTCCACCAACATATTTATCAAGAGATTTCAAAAGCAAACAAATATTTTCATGATACAAACATAAGCAATTTCTATGTGCTAATGCAGCTTTTGGAATAACAAATACTGGTCTTAATTCGGCAAATGATGAACGACTTAAATTAACATTTTTATTCTCCTCTTTAAAAAATTCATAATTTTCACGTAAACTATTAAGCAAAATTCGTTTTTGATAAGTTATTTTGCTTCCATCATCTTCTTTAGCAACAACTACATCTCTTTTTCCTGGCAGTTGATATGAAATATCATTTCGTACATAAAAATTATGAACATCATCTTTTAGCTTATCAGCAAGTTTAAGTGAAGTACGTTGATGTTTAGATTTAGAGAGCAACCAAAACTTTTGAGCAAGATGTTGAACGATAACGTTTTTCTTGTTATCACATTTAGGCAATGATGAATTTACTTTTTTCAATGTTTTACTAAATGATTGATGAGTTTTAAACGTACGTACAGAAGGAATATTAATGAGACGTTTTCTTTTGTTTCCTCGACATTTTTGTTGACTATTTTTTGCTCATAAACGAAATTTAGCTAAATCTACCTCTGTTAATTTTGTTCTTATTGAATTATTACGAGCACGAACTTTTGCTTTCGTTGCATCATATTTTACCTTATCCTTTTTAATTTTTTCTCGATACTTTTTCATTCTTTCAGCATTAGTTTTCGCCATAGGAAAATGACAATAAAAAATTCACTAACCTTGATGAAATAAATGTGAACGATATTTCAAAAAAAAAATTGTTTGACCGTTTTTTGATATAACAGTTCGTTATTTATCGATAGAATTGATTTTTCTTTTACTTTCTCTCCTATTATACACGATAAAGTAACGAAAGATAATCGCGAAAGAGAAGAAAGAAAAAACGACTTGTCACTTTTAAACGATAACGATTGAATGCAAGTCTCAACGATCGATTCGAACAGATTTTAATTTTTTCCATCATCCTAACGAACCAAAAAGACTTATTTTCTCATTTCTCACACTTCTTCTTTGTTCAGGAAAAATGGATGACACTTTTTTTCAAAAAAGCCTTATGCTTATTCTGTATACACGTACAAATAACGTTAGGTAAAGCTAGTCGCTGCCAACAACATTGAGAAAAAAAAATAGAGGTTCTCAGATAGACTTATTGTTAAATCACTATACCAGAGGTTATACCAGAGGTTATATCAAGTTTGAATACGATGGAACCACTATCTGTTGCTTTTTTAATCATAAGTTTTTGTTCGATTATAAAAACTAAAAGTTTACCGAACATCAAGTTTTTGTCACAGTGTTACTTTTTTCTATCTGAAGAAGCAATATTTTTAATTAAAAAAAGTAGGGCATCAGAATCGTCGTAAAAAGTTAGCTATGACGCGCTAGTTAGATTTCTGTTCTTACGTAAGTGTTTCATTGAAATTTTAGAGAAGGATCTTTTTCGTAACGCTGTGACAGGAAAATTGATCAAGTTTTGTTACAAGAATATCCCGATATGAAGTAAATCGCGGAACTTTATTATTTTATCAAAAGAACGGCCGTAGTTCATAGTGTACAAAATCTTTGAAAGTTGAGGTTCTGAGTTCAGTGTCATGGTATAGGATTGGTTGCAAAGTAAGATAGAAAAAACTGCTATGGACGATACAATAGTTTATGCTTGAAGCAACTATTTTTCGAGATTCACTGAATTGCTTTTTCGAATAATAAAATACATTTTTCTACACTTTGAAGTGTGCCCTACAACGTAGCGTAGACGTTAGTTTCAAATTTTGAAATAAAAACTTAATGTCTAAAGTAGCGCGTTACGTGGACAAGTCGTAAACCAATTTCAGAAACAAAAAATTCATTCAATTAAAGTATTAAAAAATAATGCAATCGAATGTAAATACTATTATCATAGCAAAACATCAAGAAAATTTAAATTTTAAACTGAAAATGTGACGGTTGTTTCATTTCTCTATAGACAAGTTTTTATTTTGTTTAGAGAAATTATCAATGTTTTAGATTATAGTCACGATAAAATTTTAAACATATTTATTTTATCACCTATATTGAATTTTTCTATTTTTTGTCATACTAAATATGAGTCATAACTGTACTCTTCGTAACAGTGTTTACCAGTGATAACTATTTTTAACTTCATACTTATTGTACATACATACGCTACACATACTAGTCAAATTTGTTCATTTTACTTGTGATTTTTTTGTATCAGAATATCAATATACTATATGTAAACATTTTGTATTTTAGTCATTAAGAAAAATTGCATTTCCTTGTGTCAGAATATATCCCACAACATATAGAAAGGTGCAATGCATTCAAAATATTTCATTACAAAATTCATAGTCATCGTGTGTAACGAAATCGTCATCGTGTTACGTTAATGAAGTAAGTCTCTTGTTAAAATAAGATGACTGTTCGGAAATATTTTTTGTTCATTGCAAATCTCAAGCTGTCGGCTACAAAATGCCTATAGAGAGTTCCATTCAATACTGCAGAAGATTCGCAGAAAAATTAAAAACAATCACATCACCCAGAACCTTTTGTCCTTTTTTCGCCATCGCGTTTCCTCAACTATTGTTGTTATAGTTTTCGAAGCGCTCATTCAATCGAGCTCATATTTTCAGATATTTTGAGCAAGGCATAGACACATCTTTCAACGAAAGAACACACCTTCTAAGTAATCTAATTGCTGAGAAAATTTAAGAAAACTGTGGACAAAACGTCATCACGTTACGCTCGGACAAGCCGATATATTAAATTGGATTAAAATAAAACGAAAAAAATTATTTGGTTTATTAAAATTTGATTTAATAATTTATCTTTCAGTACGAATAATTTCTCATAGATCTTCGATAAAAGTAAAATTTTAAGGTATTTAAATAGTAATTTTCTTGGTTTATAATAAAAACTAAATATCGAATAAAGCTTTTAATGTATTTCTAATCAATTGAATTTAGAATTCTTAATGATATCCACTTTCGAAAAGAAACACTACAGGAATTTTTAATTCTTTAAAATTAACCGAGGTGGAAATTCAATTATATCTGGTAAAACATGCTTTATCAACTAATGAAGATATTGCCTATCATTAGTTAATTAATTTCTATTGTAAATATCAATAAAAAAATACTTTTCATTTTCTTCATTTGAAATATTTTCTAAAGTTTGCTCAATTACCCAGGTCGAACATTCTGGCCCCTGGATCCCGTAGGATACTCCAGGAAATATGTGGGAAGTCACCATATCCTGCAGGAAAACATTGGAAATCGCTGGGACATGGAAGCAGTATTCCTGTCAAAAATCCGGTCGGGCTTTTCCGGCGAATTTGGATTGGGATCTACATAGAAGTGAATTACCCAGGTCGAACAGTCCGGCCTGGAAACGGCCGGTTCCGGGTAGTTCCGTTGATTTTGTGGAAGCAGTATTCCGGTTAAAAATTTTTCCGGTGATTTCCGATCAATTCCTGCCGGAAAGCACCGGAACTTGGCAAGAAACAAAACTCAATTCAATTTAAGAATCTTAATAGTATATACTAGAAGGTATTACGGCAGAATTTAATGCAGAGAATGTTTCAACTCTATCGATTGGTCAATGATGATCAGTGGAACGAATAAAAGCAAGAACAGTATCTGTATTAACGTTGAATAATTGATCAAATGAGATTAATTGTTCTACCAGTTTCTGTACGATATTCAGTAGTAATTATTGAATTTACACTTTTGATTTTATATTTTGCATTAGCATATGAAAATGCTCGCATTGACCCAGGTCGATCAAAACGGACCACCGTAAACCGATGTAAAATTACCGTAAACGGTCGTTTTTGCATCGTATTCCGTCGTAATACGGCCGTCTTAAGCCGAATCAAGGCGTTTTAACAGGGGCGGTATTACGGCCATACACGGACACCGTATACCAGCCGTAAAAGCTTGTAAAACCGGCGTAATATTATCGTATTCTATAGAACGTACGGCCGTATTACTGCCCCTGCTATACGGGGAAAATCCGGCACGTAAAACAAACCGTATTTGTATCGTATACGACCGTTTACTGGTCGTTTTCTTCGACCGGGGGATAATGTATTATCAACTGATTTTTCATGTTCAACAGATAAAAATCATGAAAGAAATTCTTCTGAATGAACAAATTGAATTTCGTCAATTAGTTATCATTCGTCCTGAAATACTTTTTCAAAATATTTTATGATTAATCTAAAAATAATTCTGAAAAGCATCGATTATTTGATTCAAACAATAAGATTGTTCCACATGTGATTCTTCCTATTTATGAATAAAGTTTCTTCAATAAGTCGGTTTTCGATGGTAGATAGACAATTTTCAGATAAATTCCTATAAAATTAAATATCTTTCTTGTTTCTGAATTTTTAATCTATTAATCAATGAAATAATAAAATAACTAATATGAATAATTTTAAACGAGATACTAAAGTAACTTACTTATGTATATGTAGAAAGAGAGTAAAGGATATTAATATTCTCCAATATTTAAATATAATAAATCGATGAGAAAATTTATGTTAAAATGTCAGAGTTGAATTAAATACTCAAAATACTCGCGAAAGTCCGTACTTGTTCAACTCTTTAGAAATTAATTTTACTTTTACAAATATAAAATTCAAAAGGATTGGCCTGAAACAAAGCAAAAAACTTGTTGATCACCAATACGAATGAGTGGAATAGAAACATATAATTTTTAATTCCTAAGATCTATTAAACAAAACTAATAGCCAACAAAAGAAAAAGCGTGTAGTGAATCGATAAATATTTTCGATATAAATAACAATTAGATTAGAGATGAATCAAATCTGAATTTCTTATAAAAATTTGAAAAAAATTGAAATAATTTTTTGAAAAGCGAAACACTACCAATGTATTATTTATCTACGCTAAAATAGAATATATGTATACAGTATATACGTATCCAAATATATAATCAAATAAGATTATGTTCAATCAAATGTGACAAAAAATGCATACACCGATCGATCCTTTTCACTTCGACAAAAAAAGTATGGTAACATACGTAATCATCTATCTAGATGGATATACGTATATAGTAATGTCATTTAGAAATAAAATTAAAAAGATGATTGATTAACAAAAATATTGAATTATTTATAAAGTTTTTATTAAATGATAAATGTCAAAGTAATAAATCAATGGTAAATGATAAAATAAAATTGATATTTATTTATTTATTTATTGATCGATTCGATTTAATTTAAATAAAAAAAAAGAAATAAAATGGATGAAACTGAAACATGTAATCTTCCTTATTATTATAATGATATTGATCGAAATAAAAGTGAAACAATACTTCGATCAATAAATCGTCCTGGATGTTTTTTAATTCGTCAACATGAAAATAGTTCATCGATATCAACGTCATCAATTAAAAGTCCTTATGCATTATCAATAGTTACACCATCATTAGAAATTTTTCGTCTTTTATGATATGAAATAAATAAATATTTATTTATAAAACCAAATTCTGATGAATATTATAATTCAATTAAAAATTTAGTTGATGCACATAAACGAAATGCTGCTGAATTACCTTGTATATTAATCGAATATTCAAACAAATGAATTAATACGACAACAAATCATTGGTGAAGGTCTTTTATTTTATTTATATCAAAAGGCAAAAAACGAAAAAGAATATTTGATTGTTATATAGGTTTATATAATGGAAATATTCCAGTTGCTATTAAAACATGTTCAATATCAATCGATGAAAATGAATCAAATATATTACGTGAAAGACGAATAATGATGAATATAGTTCATCGTTATTTAATTCAATTTTATGGCTTATGTCATTTGGATAATAAACTTTGTTTAATAACTGAATATATTCGAAATGGATCTCTTCTTTTTTTGGCTACAACAAGATAATATATCTGAACAAAATTGCTTCTCTCGCCGTCTTGATTTCTTTTCTTTTCAAATTTGTAATGCAATGCATTATTTTGAAAAAAAATTTATTATTCATAGAGATTTAGCAACAAGAAATTGTCTCATTGATGATTATGCCAATAGAGTGAAAATGAGCGACTTCGGTATGGCTAGGTAATTATTGAAATATTATATACAATTTTATTTAAAAGTTACTTTTATTTTAGAATTATTTCATCATCATCATCAATGATTTATGAAGAAAAATATGATAAACCTTTTCCACTTCGTTGGTCTTCACCAGAAGTATTAATTTATCGAAAATATAGTTCAAAATATGATGTTTGGTCTTATGGAATAGTTCTGTGGGAAATTCATTCACTTGATAAAATTCCTTATAAACAATCGATCTCAAATGATATTATTATTCAATTAATTAAATCTGGTCATATGTTAAACAAACCTGAATTAGCAAATCATTTTATTTGTAAACTATTAATGCTACCATGTTAGATGTATAATTCAAATGATAGACGTTCATTTTATTCTCTTAAACAAAAATTTAACAAGAAAATAGATTCGAGCAATAGTCAATATTAAAAAGTTAATTAGTGCAATTTTATTGTTTTAAAAAAGTATTTTTTTCTTCTAAATATATTTCTACTCGTAAGATAAAAATTCCTATGAAAATTAGTTTCCTATTTGAATACATATTTAACTTTTATTTTATCAAGATTCAAAAACCGTATTTAAAATTATTCTCTATGAAAGATCAAGTAAATGATTTTTTACTAAAGAATATCGAGAAAGTTTTTTGTTGTCACAAAAATTTAAAATAAAAGCCATAGAGTTTGAAAAAACTACGAATGTTTCTAATTCTTAATTCTTTTGATAATAGAATATATGCATATATTTTTTGTATTGACAACGATCAATTTCTATGTTAAAAGGTATATAAGATTTTTAGTTAACTTCTGAATAATAATCATACAAATATAGATTTAAATAATTTGTTACTCTATGTGATACAAGTGCAAGTGAGCAACAATTCTCTTCTTAATTTATTTTCTTTTTTTTCTTCTTTCTTTTAATATAATCGACATATTGAGATGATAGACATATTTAAGCATAAACAAACACGAAAGGAAAAGAAAAGAAAATGTCGAAATAAAACATTGAATATAATAAAACAGGATTAAAAAGAATTAAATAACAAAGAAAATCTACGATAAAATTTCATAAAACAAAGATAAAACACAAAGGAAAATGAGTGAGATTATCAAATTCTAATACTTGTAACATGGATTGTGCAGTTTTAAAAGACGTCTTTGATGTCCGGACAACACTCACCTTTATTCGATTATCTCAACTCATGTCTTCGTATAAATGACTGATACACAAAAAAAAAAGAAAAAAATCAAAAGAAAAGCTCACACTATATGTTTGGTCTATTGTTCAACTATAGTTTTCTAAAAAGCAGCTGGCATATAACCATAAGGACCAGCGAAACCAGCAGTTGCTGCTGGATCATAAAAATTTGGTTGTTGATAAGGAGCAAATGCACCCTGTTGTTGTTGAAAAGCTCCACTGTTTGGATCGAAATAGGGTGTTCCTGTTTGTTGACCAGCAAAACCATAAAATGGTTGACCTTGACTTGGCAATAAACCAGCTTGTTGAGCAGCACTCAATGGCATTTGAATTGGTGGAAGAATACCACCAAATTGTGCACCAGCACCTTGTCCTTGCATATATTGTTGCATTTGAAGCATAGCTGCTGCTTGAGCTTGCATTGCAGCTGGTGATTGAGGTGGTAATAACATTGCTTGTTGCATTGGATCAGCACCATAAAGACTTTTATTTGGACCAGAATATTTACCATATTTACTCATTTTACCTTGAGGTGCAACTTGTCCATAACCATCAAAATAAGCAGCACCACTACCTGGAAAATATGGAGATCCTGATGTACCAAGTAATGCTGGTGGGCCATAGCCAGATCGAGCACCTTTTGCTGATGAATTATATTCATATTTATCTGCCTTTTCAGTCTTTTCACGTTTATTTCCGAAGAGACCCATTGTTATTAAATTTTACAAAGAGAAAAAAAGAGAAAAAAAATATTCAAGATGAAAGACAAATGTATATGTGACTGTCGTCAAATATGAAATGAAAGCGAACTGATCGAATAGAATATGTATCTATACTCATTTTCTATCCATTGAACGGGCAAAGTTATGGTTGAATAAACACATATCATTTAACAAATAAGAATAATAGACGATGGGAGAGAGAGAGCAAGAGAAAAAAAAATCTGAAAGCAACCAATCTATTTGATTTTAAATAGAAAAGAGAAAAGAGAAGAAAAGAAACGAAAAGGATCTTTCGATTGATGACACAACACGCATTAACCAATATTTTTCCGCTTATTTCTTATTTAAAATATTGCACCATAACGCAGGTACACGGTTTTTTTTTCTTTTTTTTATCATCGGTCAACCATTATGATGAATATGTATGATGACAGCCGTGACGATACTCATATACATACGTTCATTAGGCGACGTGCTTAATGGATCGCATGTTGATATCATCTACTCTTGTTTAATGACATACATTTATTGTCACACTTCAACGAGCACCATCATCTTCAAATTTAGTTTTCATTTTCTTCTTTTTTTTCTCTTCTTCTTTTAACTATTGCAATCATCTGTTTTTTCTAATTTAATATTTATTCAATTAGATTTCATCAAAACCATAAAAGTTTTACAATGCGAAAAGATAAAATGAACAATTTTATTTGTATTTTGTTTTTTTGTATTATTTATTAAAGAAGATCAAAAAATTGAAAAAAAAACGGCTTTGATCAATTTTTTTGTCAAGTGTAATTAGAGAAAAAGGATTTTTTTTCTTGTAATTTTAAATATAAAAATAGTTTATGTATCGAATGGAGTTTCTTCAAGGATAGTTTTAAATGAAAATGGAACAAATGGATAACCTTCACCTTTGTAAAATTTCGATTGAAATTCAACCCTAGAATAAATAAATCAATAAATAATTCAGTTAATTCTTCTTAAACAAAAACAAGGCAAACCAATGAAGACGAAGTGCATGAAGAAAAGCTGAAAGTCCTTCCATTAAAAGTAATATAAAGACAGTTAATGTTGACCATGGCATAAAAACAAGAAATGATGCAATACCACCCAGATAACCATTCATCGATAATCCAATTTGAAATACCATATGCCATAACACTTCAGATAATTCTAAAGTTTATTTTTATTCTATTCATGAAGACAAAATAAAAGAAAAAGATTTACTAACGAGCATGAGCCAATGATAATGCCCAAAGACGTAAATATGAAGCTGTATGTGATATACAACCAAGAAAATATTCAATTGTATGAATACCTTGTTCAACCCATACTTCACTCATGTCAACCTAAATAAAATAAAAACAAAAAAAACATTTTATTTAATTAAAAAAAATTAAAATAAGAAAAAAAAACTAAATAAAATCAAATAATAACGGTGAGCACCTCCACTTTATTCTTTTGATGATGGAGATGTTCATCGTCAAGAAATTCTTTAGTGTTCGACTTTTGTGCATTGACGTCCAGCACGACGCCACTCTACAAATACAAAGCAGCATTTTAACTTTGATTTTTCCAATAATAATATAAAAATAAAAGCAGCAACCATTAATTAACAAAGCTTTAAATTAATTTGTTTATAATAATGATAACCTGTTCATGATGATTATTATGAGTATTCATTTCGATATCATTACTTGCTTGATCATTCATTGGTATTGTTGACAACTGATTGATTTTTTATTTCAAAATAAAAATATAATTAAATAAAATTGAGTAGATCAAAATAAATAATTACATTCTCTTGTTTTCTTTTTTGAAGTATTTTATAAATTGGTTTTCCTATAAGCAGCCATGGAATACAAATGACTGCAAATCCTAATAATGCTGTTTGAAGTGTTTGTTGAGAGCTATAGAATTTTGTTGAACTTGGTGGATCAGTTGGATAAGATAATAACATCATATTTATTAAATCTTTAAGAAAATTAAATTAAGAAAATAAAAATTATATAAAAACATACGAATAAGAAGTGATGGTGCTGATGTTGCATCTTTTCCTTCGTACATTGACCATTTATAAAATATTAATATAATTAAATAGAAAAATATACAAGCTAGAAATATTATTTGTGGGAGAAATTCAACAAGTATTCCATGATAATGTCTGAAATGACTATAAATAAACAAACAAACAAATAATATTTAATAGTAAATAGTAAATAATAAAAAAGCTTACAAATGATTCCATAAACTAAGAACGACCCCAAAACCCATTTGAATAATTCCAATAATAATAGCAAATTTCATTTTTGCTGAATTTGTAAATGTTATTTTATTTTCAGCTAATTGCCAAACAGGATCAAGACCAAATGGATATGGTGCGCCCGAATACATTTGACGATATTCACTTGTTCGACTATAATTATATGAAGTAGGCTCTAATATAACCGTATCTGATTTATTTAATGTTTCATCACTAATTTTTAATTAAAAAGAAAAGAATACATTCATGTTTTGCTTTTAAACATAATTATATATTATTTACCCAAATTTAACTCTCCATGATGATCCAAATATATTAATGGATTTTGAAAACACATCATTATAGATAAGTCCCGTATAAATTGAAAATAATCCCATTAATAAAATAATATATCTTCCACCAAAAAAAATAGTCCAAACTTCTTGTTTTCTCCATTTATTTTTCAGTGAATTTTCTTTTAAAACCATCCAAAGAGCAAAACTAGTAACAACAAGACCGTGACCAGCATCACCAAACATCACAGCAAATAAAAATGGAAATGTTATTAAAACAAATGGCATTGGATTTATTTCTCTGTACGTTGCAACACCATATGCATCAACTAAATTTTGAAAGCCTTGTGTAAATTTATTTAATTTATGATGTGTTGGTGGTTGTTCATCTGTTATCATTCGATTTAGTACAGATGAAACTGATCCTGAACCACTTAATTCCTTGGAAAATTTTGATTTAGTTATATTAATGACAAAAAAGAAAAAACTTACTGATCCTTTTCTTAATGCTAATTGAACGGTTTGAATTTGTGAATTTGGTGTCCAACATTCAGCAATAAGACATTTTCTTGCAACATCATTATTAAACATATTCATTGTATGATAAATGGCTTTGATTTTTTTAACTTTAATTTGCCATGTTCGAATTGTTTTCGATGTTTCTAATAAAACTCGTTGACGATGATCATGCGTTTGACGAAGAATAACATTTAAATCTTCTAAGCGTGTCATAACACCCATTGCTAATTCACGACGATCATTGGAATTTTCTGGGCAAGGATAAATATTAGCACGAAAACTAATTTTAAATAAAAAAAGAAAATTTATTTTCATTCAAATAGAAAAAATAGAAACCCTTCACAAATTTTTTGAACACGAGTTTTTAATTGTTCACCTTGAAAAAAAACAACAAATACCGTTTTATGAATTTTTTCACCCTAAAAAATCCAAGAGTTAGATTTAGGACAACATCGAATGCTAAAAACAAAACGAACAGTAAGAGGATCTTCAATCAATTGTGGAATTTCAGCTTGTTTTAAATAAACATTTCCACGACAAACTCTCCATAACATTCTTTCGAATCCATTCATTCGATCACGTGCAATAACTCCACTGAGAAATCTAAATTAAATTTATTCAATATTTTAATTATGAAAAAATAGAAATGAAAAATAGAAAAAATAAAATTCTACCCAAGTTTCATTCCAACTGTTACTGTTGTTGAATATTGATCAACTGAATCGAGATTTTGTTCAAGAATATTTTCCGATGAATTCATTCCAATTTGTTGTGCCTTTTATTTTAAATAAAAAAAGAAGGTATTTTATTATTATTATTAGAAATTTTATTCAAATCATTTTAAGACAAAATAAATCAGATTTCACTTTGATTTATTTTAATAATTACTTAGCATTGAACAATCATTATAGGAAATAAATAGCAATAGCAAAAGAATTTCTTTTTTTTTGCAAATATAAATACATCTTGAAAAAATGCTTGTGTCATTGCTAAATTATATTTTAATTCTGTTAGTTCATTGAAATTTCTCATGAGTGCATCAGCATTTGTATTGATTTCTTTTAATTCATGATCTAATTTATCAATAATAGCCTTAAAATAGAAATTCAAATTTGAATAAAATAATTTCTTAATAAATCAAGAAAAAACAAACTTCGAGGTCGATCATTTCTCGAGCTTTTGGCGCATCAAGATTCTCATGTGGTTCCGTCAATGATAATTCATCTTTTTTTATTTCACCTTCAAGAAAACCTTTGAAAAAGAAATTTATTTTAAATTAGAAACAAAAATGAATCAATAACAAACGTAGTTTTCGTTCCATTTCTTCACATCGTCGAACTTCATTAACAAATTTTCTTTGAAATGCATTTACGTTTGGATTTAACTAAATTAATATTTATTTAATAAAATTTAAAAAAAGAAACTATAAAAATTTACATCACGAAATTGAACTATGCCTAATTCTCCTAATTCTGCTATAGTTGAATAAGCAGCATCAGGCTGTAAATACAATTGACTTAACGTCATTTCTTCACTACGAAATATTGTTGCCATCTTTTAACGATTTACAAATAAAAATGAGTAAAATATTTTATAAAAAGACAAAAGACAAAAGACAAAAGAAGAGATAACTATTGGCTAGATAACAACTATTTATCTTTGATTTTATTTAATATAAGAACAAAAATGAAGAATATTATTCTTATCATTTTTAATAGATATTTGTTGGCAAAGATTACACTTAATAAATAATATTTGTTTTGAATCATTTTCTATTAAATGACTTTTACAAAAATCTGTTAAAACTATTGAATGATTAAAACAATTGTCTTCTTTACATTTGAATTTTTTCTTTTCATTTAATAAAGTTTTTTTTGTTTTTTCTCTTTTAAATTCTTTTAATTTATGAAATAAATAAATAAATTGTTGCTTTGATGGTGTCGAAACTAATTGAGAATAATTTTCGAATAAATCATTTTCAAATGACATATCATTTGGATATTCAATGTTGCTTCTAACTTCATTTTTATTCAAAATATTTGCTGATTTATTATCATTTAATAAATTAATTGATTTTATTAATTTATATGGACTAAAATCAATAGTATCTTTGTTTTTTTCTTCGCGTTCACGTTCATTATCAATGATTGTATCAAGAGATTTTATTCGTGTTGGAAGTATTGTTAATAACCATTCAGGACAAGAATTGGATTCAAAACATTTTTCACGTTTCTTTAAACATTTTATAATTAAATTTTCCATAGTTATTATCAATTGTCTTTGTTTGGGTTTCTTGTTCATAAAATTAAAAAAACTACAACAGATGTACAAATAAGAGAACTTAACTTACATTCATTATTAACCAATAAGATATTATCTCTCTCTCTCTCTCTATATATATATATATATAGATGACATCAGTTGTTTTTTATTTAAAATAATTCGCTACAAAAAATAATTAGCATTTTTTTCTTGTTGAAATGAAATTGAGTCAATTTGCCATTTATTTATTAGGTAAAAGTATTAATAAATATTTTAAAAAAAAAGTACAAAAATGATTATCTTTTATAGTTGAATTTTTAACAATAAAGAAATAAAATAAATAATTTGTTAAGGAAGGCACACATTTGATTTTCTTTGTTATTAGAAGAAAAAAATGCGAAGATTAATATGTGTAATTTCAATTGAACAACTAAAAAAAATAGCTTGATGAGATTGTCATTAAATAGATTAAGATTTAGCTTTTTGTACAAGATCAATTCTGTATAAGATAAAATCCTTAAATAAAAAAAATTGAATTTAAATTAAAACGAAATAAATACATGAAAGCAAAACGAAAAACTGACTTGAATTGTTCGTAATTTTTCACTTATTGTTTGATCCGTTGTTGTTGTTTTTATTTGATGAACAAGACGATAACGATCAAATAAATAATTAATACTTAATTCCAGTTGACTTATCACTGTTGTCTGGTAGAAAATAGAAAATAAAAACCTAGTATTTATCTTTTTAACTAAATGAAACCGTTGATCTCTTCGTATCTGTTTTATTGATAAATTTTTCTTCGTTGATTGATTCAGTTTTTTGTAAATCATTTAATTTATCATGCAATTGAGCAAGACGTGTACTTAATTTAGCTATTCGAGTATTATGTTCAAGGATTAATCTTTGTAATTGATGTCGTCGTTCTTGTTTCTAATCAAACGTTTTTTCTTTAAATAAAATTAATTTAAATCAAAGAAAAAAAACCTCTTTTGATAAATCTCGTTGTTCAAAACCTGATTTTGTTTCAACTAATGTTTGATATCTTAATATAAGGCTTTTAACACCATCTGAACCTCCTTGTAATAAACCTTTATTAAATAAAAAAAAAAAACTTTTTTTATAGTTAAAATTAAAGTATTATATTTTACCCGGTGGAAATAATGGAATTGCTTTTTGAACAATATCAATTAAATTTGAATAGCATTTTTTTTCTTCTTTTAACTGATCGATTCTACATGAACAGGTGTTTATTTATAGTAAAAAAGAAAAAGAAAAGAAAACGAACTTCATATTAAGTAAATCAACTTCTTGTCTCAATCTATCGGCTTCAAGTCTTTTTAAAAGATAATCTCGTAATTCAAGTTGATATCGACGAATATTTGCAGAACGTTTTTCATCAAGATTATCAACAAATTTTTTAAATCCCAGATGTCTTTTATCATTCTAAATAAAAATACAATTTCTATTTTAAAAACTAAAATTAAAATAAAACAAAAACAAGATAGACAAAACTTGTTCTTGTAGTGATAAAAGGCGAAGTTTTTTTCTTGAACAAGTTAAGAGACGTTGATGACATCGTTGACGAGTTGATATTAATTGTTGATCAATATCTTTTGAATCGATTGAAATTGATGATTGACAAACAGATGCAGTTGCACTTTGACAACGTGAAGTCGATTCACTTATACTAGTTGAACTTCTTCCATCAACTTCTGTTAAAAATATTTTTGCACTAGTTAATAATTTACGATAGAAATCTACAGATGATTCTCCTTTTAGTTCCATCTAGAATATATTTATACATAAAAATTATCTTTTTTTTTATCTATCAATAAAAAGAACAGTGCGTGTTTTAATATTCGCTTGCAAGAGTGTTAAATTAAAATCTTTAAATTGTCTTTTTGGCACGTCTCCACTACTCAGATAAAACTCATCATCAAGATCATTTTCTTCGGATTTAACATATTGAATTATATCAAGAATTTTATTATTTGTATTGAATTCTTTTTCTAATCGTCTTCCATCATGTAAACGAATAGCAATTAAAATTGGTTCTACTGGTTTAGATATTTGTTTCAGTCGTGGATTCGATTTCGAATGTGATGATTGTAATGATTGAGGTGGGCGAGGAATATATTCATGAGAACTTCCTATACGAGGTAACTTTTCAAACGGTGTTAAACGAGAACTTATTCGACCTTCTCTAAATTAAATTTACAATGTACGCCAGTTTTTTTTCACTAAAAGAAATAAAATTAAATAATCACCTTTTCGATGGTGAAAGCGATCGAACATAATGAACAGACATTTTCCTTGTTGATTTTTAAAAATAATAAAATAAAAAGTTTTTTTTTTTTTATGTAAAAATAATCATATGACATTTTATTCCTTGTAATCATGGCAACATTTTCCGGATTTTTTACAGATGTCACTTTTATTTTAGTGACTGTGGCCTACAGTTAAGTAAAATTTATAATAGTAAAATAAAAATGTCTTTTCGTGATGACCACAGAAATAATGATAGTCTAAAAAAAGTAAATTAATCGAGTTAGAAATTTATGACTTGAATATATTGATAAAAAGAAATGATTTCAAGTTCAAACTTTGATTAATTTGCTTTGAGATCATAATATTTTCACAATACAAAATTAAAAAAGAAATGTTCTTTTTCATTGAATTGAATATAGTTAAAAACTTTAGAAAGACTTAATTTAAATAAAAATAACGAGCAACCAATTTCGAAAAGACAGAAAAACAGCTTGAGCTTGTTATCATCAATAAATTCATTTCTATTTTATCAAAGTTTCCTGTTAAAGATATTTTTTCTTTTTTAAAATTAATAAATTAATTAAATAATGTAGAAATAAATAAAAGAATAAAAAATGATTTTCCTTTTCATTAAAATACTTCCCTTTTTTATTAATGATTTGATGTAAATTAGAGTATGAGATATCTGAGTATATTTCTACTCTTTTTTTGTTTTCTAGTCATTTTATTGAATATGGATATAGATTCGATAGATGCTATTATGAATGACTCGAGATTCCAAAGCGACATATCGATATCGAATCATTAGATTATTTGAATCTAATTCCAAATTTAGACTTAATATTTTACTGCTCTTTCTCGAAATATATGAGACTTATTTGTAATGAACTAACATATCTTACTAAATGATTTATTTTGATTGCTGAAAACGGTGATGAATCACTGAATATTCAACTACGTTATCAATAATCAGCCTTTTTACTGCAAAATTAATCGTTTCAATGTAAATTATGATTAATTTCTTTATACAGCAAACGCATAAATTTATTCAAAGATTTGATCACCACTAAAACCGATGAGAAAAACTTGAGAAATTTAACTATCAGACAACGTATCGTAGAATCATCCAATGTAAAACACTGTGTGACACTTAGAAGTAATTACCTTTGACTTTGTTCTTTTACTTTCTAAATTTGTTTTTTGATTTTTTCAAGTTTGAAATTATTATTGACTTGTTAATCAAGGTAAACTAACACATGTACTTTTCTGAAAAATGAAGGAGTCATTGAAAAAGAAACATCTCATTTTAATATTTCCATTCGAAACCTCAGTGAAAATTATCGAACTAATCGATAGCTGAAAAATCTAATTTTTTGTTTTACTTCATTGGAAAAAATCTTTCGAATTGCAAGTTTTATTTCTTAAAAATTTGACAATTTCATTCGAATATTTTCGTCACTTTTCTCTACATTGTTCATGGTAAAACATTCATTTCGACCATAATTCCGCCGAAGCAGTTTAATCTATTCTTAAATAGCCTGCTTCAGTACGTTTAAAGACTCTTTTGTGAGGCTTTTTAAAATAAATCTTAGTGTTGATTTGACTGATAAGAGAAAAACTATTAGAAAGATTAAGAAGGGAAATTATGTTGACATTTTACAGACCGGTTTTTCTTTTTTCATAGAATAAAAGAATATTCTATTTTATTGGTGAAGGTAAAAAACTTATATTTGAAGTATAATATTCAAGAAAAAACATTTGTTTTCAGATAATTTATCATAAAAATAAACTAAGAAATTGTCAATTTTGCGAATATAAATAGATGTCAAAATCGAAAAATTTGAATTAAATTAAATTTTCATATTGAGCATTAGTGTTATTTTACTGTTTTTAGAATACAAAACATAAATCATTGAGTAAATATCTCATCTAGATCAATAGAATCTATTTAACGAGATTCAGTTGTACTTCTATTCTGCTTTTTTTGATAAATTATCTGGGATTGAATATTTTTTCTTGAATATTATATTTCAATTATAGTTTTTCGTCTTCTCGAATGAATAAGCGACGTTGAAACAATTTTTATTTTCTAAAGATTTTCTTTTTAGGAACTCATCGATTCTTTTCAATCATTAAAAAATCCGTTTGTTTTATTTTTGAAAAAATATTTTTGTTCAATTTTTAATGATAAAAGTAATTTGAAATATTCTTCAATATTTTTAATGCTGATAATTATTTAAGTTGATTCAGAATATTAAAATTATAATTAATTGACAACTGGAATAACAATTTTTATATCAAGATAAAATTATTTTTTCACGAGGAGATTTATTAAACTTTTATTTTCAATCAATAGGAGAAAACTAAATTCTGTTTCACAAAATAGTACAAATAATTGATTGTTGTTTTTCTTTGTGTATGGGCATTTTACCATTTTGATTACTAAGCTTGCTTTGAGAAGATGCTTGAAAATTTAATCGAGCAAATGGTGCAAAAGAACTGATTTCTATTAATTGTGTGAATAATTGATTTGGATCATAAAAAACTTGTAAATCTTGAATTTGATAATTTTTATTAATAGTTGTTTTACACATTCCATAAATTTCAATCATTTTATTAGTTGGATCAACTTTATCAAGTAAACCAGATAGACCAGGACAATAATTGGTTTGACCAATTAATAAATTGTACGTTCCTAATTTAACTGTATCATACGCATTACATTTTTGTTGATCATTACAAGAAAAACGATAGTTATCTATATCAATTGTTAACCATTGATGTGGGTCGACTTTATGATTTGCTTCTAAAAATTTGTTTTGTTTTAAAATTAATTCAATAAATGGAAAAAAGAAAATATTTTCTTAATCTTTCTCCCAATTTTTAACAACATTTTGAACAATATATTTAAGTAAACCCGTTAAATGATTTCCTGTTTTATGTTTTTGAAAAGTAGATTTATTTTATCATAATTTGGCAAAGAATTTCTCCATTTAATATCATTATTAGATTCTTTAAGCATAGCATCTGAATCTAATGTATAAGATGGCAATTGTGTTGACGTTTTATTTTAAAATATTATCTAAATAGAAATCTTTATAACAAAGAAGCTAATTTCATGTAAATAATTTATTTTTTCGTTTTTCAAGACGAAACATGAAAAGAACATTCTTACAGTTAAAACTATTCGGTAGGAAACAATTAATTCAGTCAAAAATAAACAAATCTTATCTGGACAACGATACATTTAAATATAAGATTGGAATCAATTTCCATAGATCAAAAGAAAATAATTATGATAATACTATTTTAATTAGACTTTTAAGACTAACAGGGAAAATTAAAATAATACCAATATAAGTGGTTCTTTAATAATTACAAAATAATCGGATTTTTAATTTTTTTTTCTTACCTAACTAGGATAGATCGATTTTCATTGGCTTAAATTATAAATCTCCTTCTTTAAAATAATATTAGAAGTTATCATAAATTGAATAGTTTTTAATAGAATTTCGTCATACTTAACAGAACTCAATTGCAATCAAAGTTCATCACGTCTAACGTCAGATAAATTTTTAATAGAAAGTTTCAATCGATGACAAAACCTTGTAGAAAGCAAAGATGCTATAGTATTCGTATGAATTAATTGAGGCCTTGATAAGAATATTAAGTAGATAAAATAATTGTTTATAAGAAGTTATTAAACAAGAAAATATAATATAACTGTCTAATATTCTTCAAATGGTTACCATTGATTATTTAATAAAACATTGAACAACATTGTTGCTGATAGAATGTCGTATGGAGAAACAAGTTTATTTTAAACATATTTAAAAAATGCTCTAATTGCAAATTATTCCTGTGAAATAATATCCAAAGACGACGAAGAAAACATATTTTCTTGTCTTACATAAGAAAATGGCGAGAAAAATATTGTGGCTTTCACAAAAGCTACTTGTAAAAATAATTAATTCTTTGATAAACACGGAATAAATAAAATGAATTAATTTCATAATTCTACAATTTGAGTTTTCTCTAATGAAATAAATATTATCAGTGTGAAGCTAGCACGACGGAGCCAGCACGATGAAACAGAGAATCAACTATAAGTCTTCTCAGAAGTATTGCCAGCCCATAAAAACCAGCCCATTCGATGCAGAATTTAATTCTGGATCGGATGGTGATACTTTTATTCCTCGGCATTATTTTGAGAAAATTCTATCCGGTTTTTCTTGTCCTATTTAGAAAAAAACAAAGGTGTAGATGAAATTTCTTCCTAAGTATTGTCGGGGAATAAAAGTATCACCATCCGATCCAGAATTAAATTCTACGTCGAATGGTCTGGTTNAAATGTCGAAAAAAAGACAAAGAAAATATCCATATATGGAAGTTTTCTTTGTCTTTTTTTCGACATTTTTCTTTTCGACGTTTTCCTTTTCGGCGTTTTCCACCAAACCCGTCGTGCTAGCTTCACACTGATATAAATATTTCCTTTTTTTTATAATTTATTTCATTACAATTATTCATTGAATAGTTTGGAGAAAATATTGTATTTTATTATTTTTGTTCAAGAAACTTGAAACACGAAACTCGCATTTGATGAAAAATAGTTTTTTTATTATTATTGATCATTAATGTCTTTTAACATTTTTTTGTTAAACGCAACTATTCTAAAAGAAGAAGACGATGAAATCATTTTGAAATTGTTTTGAACAATAGTCGAATTGAATTACTGGCCCATTCATATGGAAAAGAATTCAAAAGACCAGAGAATACAACTATAAAAGAAATAGATACAATGAAATAAATTATTAATAGGCATCTTACATTCTGTGACAGAGTACAGTTCAATGATTCGAAAAAAAACTCAATTAAACTACTATGATAATCAACTTTTCTTTTCATTTCTTTTCTATTATAAATTTTCCATTCAATTTTAATCTTTTAAAAATCTTGTTTATCTGATCTTTTTAGAAATAAATGTTAATATAATTAGATAATTATATTGACTAGATTTAATAATTGATGAACACATTTTTGATGATATACATAGAAGCCGGAGAGCAGATCAGTTAAAACGAAATTCGTTAGGTGAAAATGACATGTAATTATAATTAATATAATCATTAATTTCTTTAGACGTTTTAATAAATGTCATACTGATTCTTCAATGAATGCAAAATACGATTGTTACTGAGCATCATAATGTGTCGTTCGTCAATTTTGATTATTATTATTAATAAATCTTGATCGTTTTATTCTATTCAAATAGCAAAATTGATACTCCGATCAAACAATTCTTTATGATCAATATAAAAACAAAGTAGATCTCATTCAAACTACTTCATTAACACTTATTTCTTATCATATTTGTGAACACACATCAAATCTCTAGAGAAATCATTAGAAAAAATAAGCTAATTATGCAACATGAAAATTTTGTTTCTAAAAAAAAGTATAAAAATCTGCAAACGAATTAAAAATACAATCTTTTGTCTTTTGTAACAAATTTTTATAGAGAACCATAGAGTTTATCTACATAGACACAAATTTTAAACAACCTATTTAATATCGTCTCAGTCAAACTATTCTATTTGAAGATGTTAATCTGAATTAGATTTTGTATTTCTTCCTAATTCATATTCTGTTAGAATATAAATAATTCTTCAATAGATCTATTATTTTATTTATTTTCTGATCTAACTCCATAGCTTTCTAATATCAAAAATTAAATATATTCAGAACTGCTTCATCAAATAGTTTAAATTAATAATTACAACTTCTTTCTTCTTTTTTCTAAACATAATCTTGCGACTAATATAGCTAATAGATATACATTTGTTATGTAGAGATAATCAGTTTCATCAAAAAAAAAATAAACAACAGAACTAATTTAAAATTATTACTAAAGGAAGACATCAACTCTAGTCTACCATCTTGTATTGTTTAGTTTGTTCCAAGAAAAAGGATATTTTCATGACAAAATTTATATTTTAATTATTCTTTTTAGTTCAAAAGTAATTCCCAAAAAGAAAAGATTCATGATTAACAACAAAATTACCCATTATTATTTTTATTATTTTGCTGCACCAATCGAAAGACGCAATTGAGTATAATTCGAAAAACAGATATCTTTTTAATTTAATCAAGAGAAAAAAAATGAGAATCGATTCATATTTGAAAGATGTTGCATATTGAGACAATACAGTGAAGATGACGAGGAAAGCGTGAACATATTATATCAATGTACAAATGTATACTTTTGCATCAAGATAATCAACATCATCAACTATTGTTAACGAAAATTCTTTAAATTTTTGTAAACACATTAAATAAACTTGATCACGAAAGTATTTCTGAAAGTGAAAGATTGATGAGGATGACGATGATTTCAATTTCATTAGACGTAAACAAAATAAAAACTGAATATTTGAGTACAATATCAACGGACGTATTGTTCGCTCAAGAACTGGATATTTTGTTTCTTTTCATAAGAAATACATTGGATTCCTGTCGTTTCCATGACAAGTTTAATCTTTGCATTTTAGTTTTTATTGAAATTTTTGAAATAAATAGTTATACAATCGATAGATAGACATATATGGAGCCGAGGCGCCTCTTCTTTGAATCTATTTATTTATTTACGTAAATAATTTAACTAATTATTCAATAAATAAGATCTAAAGACTAAATAGAATTTGAATTGATCAAAACATTTTCAAAATAGTAAAGAAATAAGGAAAGATAAACTCTATGAGAGTAAAAGAAATATTCGAAAAATGAAAAAATTCCAAAATAGAAATCCGGTGATGGAATCCTCCGTTGTTTTGAACTCTACAGTTCCTGTCAGTATCAACTATAACCATGTAAAGACGACGACCAACGAATTCGATTAGCGGACTCCTGCTTACAATCTCGGATAGCATTATCTAGAGATTTCCGCCGGAAAAGCATTGATGCGACCGCCAGTATCATTGACTTGGGATGGGGTAATGAAAGAAAGATATTTTATTTTATGATAATCAATTTTAAAATTATATATCGTCATTTAATTAGATAAAAGAAGATTTTTAAAATATTTTATTAAATAAAGAAAAATTAGAATTGAAAAGAATATTTTTTCGTGTTTCTTTTCTTTTTTCTAAGAGAAATAATTTGATGATTTAAAATGAATATGTTTAAAACAAGATTGAAATAATTTGACATAAGCTCGGCGATATTTAATTTGAATAAATGGATAAAGAAATGGATTACACGTTGAATTCATCCATAATAACCAAAATGATATTTCAAAAGTAGTCTCAGATATTTTAAAACCCGCTGTTGTTATTATTGCACATATAACATAAGGAAATAGAAATATTAAAAAAACTATAACAAGAATAAATAAGGATCGAGCAGCTTTTCGATCGCGTTTTATTCTTAGATCTGGCCGATCTGTTCGACAAATTTCTTTTGTTTGATTTTTAATTGTTTTAGTAAGTTGAATTTCATTTTCCGTATCGCATGCTGCAATTATTGAATCGCTTAGATTAATTCGTGCTGTCTCACTTTTTATATTTGAAGATTTTATTGATAAAATTCTTGAGTGAGATGAATAAACAATTTTTGTGGAATTATTATTTTTTCTAATTAATTTTTATTTAAAAATAAATAGACTTAATTTTTTTAAATAAAAAAAACAGAAACATACCGTTGGAGTTTTTTATTAATTCGACATTTTTTTTGTGTTATTGGTGAATATTCTTGAATAAAATTTCTTTTATTTTTTGTTATTTTAGGTGAATTCGATGAAGATCTTCTTTCATTGGTCAATGTTTGACAGTGATTTACATGATAAGGATCATTTATTGAATTGTTGAATTTATCTGAACAATTCTTCTTCTTTTTATATGAATTATTTATTTTAATATTGCTCATTTTTCTTGTTCTTTTCCATATATTTAACATAATTAATAAATTAAGTATACATAAAACAATAAATGGCCAAATAAAATAATTAAATTGTGCAATTAACATATAAATAAATGATCGATTATAATCACCTGAACAATCTTTTCTATTTTCTTCTTTTCTATTAAATAAACTTATTAACCAAATACCAGGAGCAAAATTAACTAATAACAACAAGTAATTGATGTATTATTAAATAATTAACATTAACTTACTAAATGAAAGACACCAAACAACTGCCATAACTAAATAAACAAAATTTTGTCTAACATATTTTCTATAAGAAATCGGATAAGCAATTGACCAATAACGATTAATACTGATGACAGCAATATTAATAACACTTGCCATGGTTGATACATCATCTACTGTTACCTAAATAGAAAAGATTTCGTTTTATTAATTATGATTTTTATTTAATTCAATAATTACCCAAATTTTACAAAAAAGGCGTCCAAAAGGCCATGATTGTTTTATACTAAATTGTTTTTAATAATAAAATATTTATTTCAATATTAAAATAGAAATCTATAAAAACCTATATGGAATATAAAATGGAATGCAGAAAAAACCAACTAAAAAATCAGCTATTGCCATATTCATTATAAAATAATCTTTAATGAAATAAAATTAAAAAATAAAATTTTAAAATAATTCAAATCAAATGATTTACCATTAACAGTTCGTAACTTTTTATCATAATAAAAAGCTAAAATTACAATTATATTTCCAGTTGCAGTTGTTAATGCAATAAGACTAAGGAATATACAAATTAAGATTGAAATAATTATTTGCGATGAATCATTTGTCATTATGATTATCTTAAATATTAAAACTAACTCTATTTTAACTAGAGACGTATATATTGTTATTCGAAAGAGAAAAAAAAAGAAAAGAAATAATCAATCATTTTTTAATATAATCAATGCAAAATTAGTTTCTTCTATAGATAAGAAATCATTCTTATCATCGACACATATAGATATAGACAAATACAAGAAAAGAAAAAAGAGAAGTCTTTCTTTTCCGAAAGACATCCGTTTTACAAAAAAAAAATATAAAAATAAAACGGAAATAAATTCGAGTCCAGTAATTAATTCACTCTTTCTTTTTTTATTTTTCTATACCGTAAACTATCTCATTGAAGAGAAGAATCATCTTTACTATTGGATATTTTAAACAAAACAAGCTATGTCCAACTGTTTAAACACTTATTCTAATAGAATAAATTTACTTCTATGATAATTTTATTATAATTAAATATTTTTCTTTCCTTTCTTCAATAGAAACTATTGAAGACGTTTGATTTCTCGAGATCGACTTGAACGAATGAAACTATATTGAATTAAATGAAAATAATCTTTATTTATTTATTTATTTATTTATTTGTTTATTTATCTTAAGAATTTTGGCAATTAAATAAATAAAGAAAAAAGAAAAAAAGAAAGAAAAATCTAATTGTTTTTGACATATTGTTGAATAAAATAATTATAATTAATATTTCCATCCATTTTAATATCGAGTTGTGATGCTAATTGATAAAATTCTTCATCATTTAACGTACATTTAAATTGATGCAGAATTTTTTTAAATATTTGTATAGGTATTGAGCCATGATTTGTTGCATCATGTTGTTTAAATGAACGACGTATTTCTTTATATGAATCGCGTAACTATATTCAATTTAAAGAAAGAAATTTAAAAAAATTGAAAAAACCGTTTTTTTGTAATTACTTTTTGTCGAATTTTATTTTCAAGTTGATTTTCATTCGATCGATTTATTGTTATTTTAGGAGAATAATCATCATTGGTAATAAATGTTTTTCTTGTTGGTAGTTCAATTTCATCAACTAATTCTGATAGTGGAGCATGATGCTTTAAAAATCGAACATAATTCATTCTTTTATTTAAATAAAAATAAATTTTTATTAAATTTTTATGAAAACAAAAGAAAAAGAATCTTTTTACCTTGAATCATGTTTTGTTTCAAATCTATGTTTAAGCATATCAAGATCATCTTGATTAACAGATGAACAAAGTTCAGTTAAAATTTCATCAAATTCATCAGATTGAACAAAACCAGTTTTATATGGATCTAACTGTGTAAATTCTTTTCGTAATTGATCCCAATTTGAACGTATAGCATTAAGTGCAGTACCATGAACAAGAACAGAATCTCCGTATAATTTTCTTGATGTTAATAAAAAATCTGCATCACCTCGTTTAGGTGGATTTTGTTTTGCGTTTGGAAAATGTGCTGAACGTTTTGAATAACCAAATTCACGTAAAAATTGATAAAAATCTAAGTGTCCATTTTCTTTTAAATGACAACGTGACCAAAGTAAAACAATTTCTGAACGTGTTACTTCAGGTTTAATATCAAGGCTAAAACAAGAACTTCTTTTTTATTTTATGTTAAATAAATAAACAAACTTTTTAAATAAATCATATAAAAGATCTTGTGTTAATTCTCCATATGAACCACGATCAAGTTTTTTAAATTCATCTTCAATATCTTTATAACGATTTCGAATTATTATTTTAAGAATTTCACGAAGCTTAAAATAAACAGTAAAATAATTTTTTTAATTTTGTTTTTAATGAAAAGAATTCAAACGAGAAAACCTGTTCAATCGATCTTGCTTTTTGCTGATCATGTTCATTAAAATCATTTTGTTTTCCACGTTTTTTATTTTTAATATGTTCTTGATTAAGACTTTCGCGAATATTTTTTGATCTCATATATTCCCATTGTGGAATTCTTTAAATAAATTTCATCGAAAAATTATTTATATATTTGATGAGAAAAACAAAAGAAAGTATAAAAACATACATCGGTAATTTATCTTCTTGTTGCTGCTGTTGTTGTTGTTGCGAAGAAGTTGTTCTTTCTAAAACTTGTTTTAAATAATCTTTATATTTTATTTTTCCATATTGATCCATAGGAAATTGTTTAATTAATTGATAATATTCATCAGGTCTCAATGGAAATTCAAGTAAATCTTCAATTAATGATCTCATATCATTAGTATTTATTGTACCATTATTTAGATTGTCTAAACGTGTTAATTCATCACGAATTTTATCATAATTTATTGATAATAAATAATCAATTTGCTTTTCTAATGACGTTTGACGATATTCTTCATTGTTTTTACTAAATTAAATCGAATAAATATTAAATCGAAAAACTAAAAACTGAAAACTAAAACGAACAATGAATTTTCATTATTAATTTGTTTTCTTGTTGAATCACATCGTTGTTTAAAAGCTTTAATAACATCTTTATAAGGAATTAATCCATTTGTTAATGTTAAATCAATATTAAAACGTTTTAAAAATGATTCAAGAATATTTCCATCTAATATTAGTCCATATTGTTTTAATTGTTCAACGAATTGATCACGTGATAGCTAAAAAAGATAAAGAACTTTTAATAAATTTAATATAAAATTTAAAAAAAAATAAACTTAACAGTTCCAGTTTGTTTTATATCTAATCGTTGACATGAACGTTCAAGATCCGAATAACCTTGAGGAAATTTATGATGAAGCCATAGCTCAATTTGATTTTCATCTAATTGATCATGAGAACCTTTATTATTTAATCAGAAAATAAAATTTAATTAGAAAATGAAATTTAATTAAAAATAAATTTTACTATGGAGACGAGATGTTTTTAATTGTGAATCTGAATGAGAAGATTTCATATGTGTTGCTTTTAATATAGCTGTTTGTTGATCGTGTGTTTCACTTGTTGGAATCGATGAAGTTTCATTTAAAAGCTCTTCATTTGTTAAACGTTTTAAGAATTTATCGGAATGAATTGCATGAAAACCATCGGTATCAAATCTATTTATTTATTTTTATTGTTTTATTGAAATTTTATTTTTAATAAAACTAAACAAAAACAAAAAGTGAAACTTACTTATCCCATAGTTTATCAAATTCTTTATCATTCATTCTATAACCCATATCAATTAAAGTATTATGAAACTGTGTTTTAAATATTCTTGTAAGTGGACCACCATCTAATGATGGACATAAATTTATTAAATCTTTATGTCTAATTAAAATTAATTTTTTTAGTTAATTTAAAAATTAATAAATAAAATCTTACTTAGTACGAACTTTATCTTTGAGAATAATAAACATTTGTGCTGCTGTTCGTTTTGTTAAAAACTCTTGAGATCTAGATGATTGACGAGATAAATCAGACGATAATTGTTGTTCATCATGTAATAATGAATTAAGAAATTCATCAAGACTATTTTGATAAAGAAAAAGAAAAAAAATAATAAGAAGAATAAGAAGAATAAGAAGAAAACCTTATTTTATTAAAATGTTTTAAATGAAGTTTTTCTAATAGTTTTTCAATTTGGTTTGGTGCTATTTGTATTTGTGTGCCAAATATAGTTGCAATTAAATGTTGTAATGCTTGACGAGATATTTTCCCATTAGAATCAAAATCGGAAACATGACGAAATTTTGTTTTGATATCATGAACTTGTGTTCGAACTTTCTCTTTTAATATTGTTTCAAGTTCATCAATTGTAAAACGTGATGTTCCTATTGAACTTTCTTTATCATTTTCAGAATCATTTGATGATAATCGACTATCTGTTCGATGACCTTTATTTAATTAATTTTTTTTTATTTGTTTTTGAAAAACAGAAGTTTTTATATTTACCAAATATAGGTAAACGAACTTTATCTCGATCTTGTCCATAAATAACATTAACATTTTCTGGTATTTGACTTAATGATTCAGAATAGATTGAAGATTTCGATGAATTTCTCAATGAAGATGATCGACGACGACCACGACGAAATGTTAATTCTGGTGTTGATGCTTCACTTCGAACTAATTTTCCATCACCAAAACCATCACGTGATTTACCTCGAATATCTAATGAATGTTTATCTTGTTCATTGATTAATTTTGATGGATGTTCAATTCTTGGTAAAGTCATTACTTTTTTATTCAATGAAGATAAATATTGTTTATCATTATAAGCAAGATTAGATGATGAAGATACCAATGACATGATTTTTATTTTAAATTAACCAGAACGAGAACGACAATGATAGAAACAGAGACAGAGGCGACTATTTTATTGTTGTTACCATTCAATTATTGAGTTTTGTTTGTTGTGTCAACTAGAAAAATGAGCAAAACGATGACGACGAGCTTTTTTTTCTCCGTTTTACTTTTTAATAGATGCATCAAGTAGAATCAATCAATCATTCGAAATGTTTTTCATCATTTTTTTCAAGAACAAACATAACCATAGTATTACACGAAAAAAAAAGAAGAAGGAAAAATTCAATTCAATCAATTTAAAACATATTCAAGCCTTTTGTTTCCATAGAATTAAATATATATTATTTATCAATTTTTATAGATAAGAATATATTTATATAAATTTTATTCAATTTTTTCTGCCTTTTATGTAATTAAAATCTTAGACGAGAAAACCATTTTATCTCGAAAATTTAAAAAATGAATTTAACACAGTATATTAAAAATTCTTCTCATAAAGTTACATCATTTCGATATTCAACGATTAGATCTTTTTTAATTCGTCGATTTATGAAGACATAGATATTTGAAAAGAATCATCTATTGAGAATGGGAGAATATTTCCACGGATTAAACACTCTATTTCTTATTTTATACATTGAATAGTTAAGATTGAAAAAGTTTGAAAATTCTACTAAATTGTCTATTTTAAAAATAATAATGATATCTTGTGGATATCCAATTTTTGATGCTGTTTGTACGTTTTACTTGTTTGAAAATTGCTAATAACTGATCTATGTTTCATCACTGATCAGCTGTTCGAAATTTATATAATAGTCATATGGCAAAACACGTTTATGGCTGTATGATGGAACGTTTTTCTTAATCAAATGTAAAGAAAAGAATCATTGTTTCATGAACTGCCACCAGTCGATCAGTTCACAAATAAAGTAACACTATTTGAGATCTATGATATTGTTAGCAAATTCGAGTTCATGATCGATCTCATTATCGATTGAGGAAGTAATTATGAATAGCAATATAGACAATTAAATATAAATTATCCTAATTTTAGTATTTTTATTTAAAAATGAATAGAAAATTAAATTTTTGATTTAATTGTGGAATAAGTTATTCGATGATTTTCTTTCAAAATTTCAACAGCTGGCGAAAGTTTTGGTGATTGAATTGATCCCATTTGAAGATCATCAATTAATATTTGTGGTGTAAGAGAACGCGGTACTAAAGCAGCTCGAACTAATAAAGAAAAAGCAGTTTCTTGATTTTTATCAAGAATAATTGCTTGTTCAAAATAAAAAGCTTTATCATCCCAACCATTCATACGTGTTCGAATTTCAAATCGATCGCCTAATTCAATACTTTGACGATATTGAACTTGTAGTGCACTGATAACCATATTTGAATTTTTATCCAAGATTTTTCGTCGTTTAACAATAGAATTCCATAAGCCTGTTTCAAATAGAAAAGAAATTCGACCAAAATCACATTCTCGTAAATATCTTGAATTGTTCATATGCCAATTAATATCAAGATCATTTAGCCAACATTGACCATGTATGACGAATTCTGAGAAAAGATTTTTATAATTTTTATTTCCTTTATATCGCCAAGCTAATGCCAATACGCGAATAACATATCCTATATCGAACATTTCAGAATAAAGATTTTATATTTTTTTTATGGTCATTAAGTAAACTATACAAACAAGAAATATTTCATTGATCGTCGATGTAGACCAATAGAGAACATGAGGTCGTACTTCTTCAACAATAATATCATATATATGTCTTCATAGAAACTTTGAGATGACTACTTTTCTCAAATGTGGACAAAAATAGTTACTTACAAAGAAAGAACTCATTAAAAGGTATTTTTTCAAGATAATTTTATGAAAAACTCTTTCAAAATGTTCAATCTGACTATGAATATTGCTAATTTTAACCTGAAAACATTAGATCTTCTTTAAACTGATTGTCACTGGAATTTTGATTGTAAAAGAGAAACAATAATAATTTTACTTATGAAAATATGTCTAATGATCACCAAGTTTAATTTATTTGAAGTATTTATTTAATAAAAAACAACTATTTTAATTATTTTTGTTTTCACAAAGATAACAAAATTTTATTATTAATTTGTATCATTTAGAATGTTCCTAGTAAAAAAAAAGTATATGTAAATAAAAGTAAAGTGTCCTCTATCTCTTTCTCTATGCATATTCGATCGGTTGTCAATAGAAATGAATAGAAAAATGGTTTATTTGAATAGAAAAATCAAATGATGAATTCGAATTTGAGTGAAATTTATTCAGATGAATATCAAAGTAATTTTATTTGAAAAATAATTGTTTTTTGTTATTTTAACAATAAAATAAAACTAGGTGAAAATGAAACAATTAAATTAGTTTGTCAATTAAATGAAAATGAGAAATTAAAAAATGAAAATGTTAATAATCTTGAAGATTTATTAATTAAATCTCGTCAATTAAATTCATTCAAGTCCATTCGTTTAATAAATGAAAATCTTGAGTATTTATCAATTAATAAAAATAAATCAATTAAAAATTTAATACTATCATGTAATCAATTTGGATTAACAAATAATATTAATTGGACACATTTACCGAAAAATCTTCAAGTATATTATAAAATGAAAATATACTTTATTGAAATAACGATTTTTTTTAAAATTTTTAGTCCATTGATTTATCGGGAAATTTTCTTTCATCAATTGATGGAATTGAAAAAGAAAATAATGAATTAGAAAGTCTTGCTCTTTCATTTAATCAAATAAATCAATTATCAGATATTTTTTCAAGAATAAAATGGCCAAATTTATGTTTACTTGATTTAAGTTATAATAATTTAGATAATTTAAAAGAAACAATTGATTCATTAAAGGATTTATCAAAACTTCGAATAATATATTTACATGGAAATCCTTTATCAGTTTGAATTTATTTATTTCTATAGATTTATTCTATGTCTTTTTGATTTTTGTTTTAGTTATTGGTTGATTATCGTATTTATGTTATTGATTCTCTCGAAAAATTAATTGTTCTTGATGATATTCGAATAACTGCTGAGGAAAGAATTCGTTCGAGAAATTATTCTCGAATTGTAAGAACAGATAAAGATTATTCAAGTTTTCAAATTTCATTTAAAAATATTGACAATGTTCCACCAGCTATTCCGAATCAAGTATATTAACAATAAAAATAAAATAAATATTTATTTTCTTATTTATCATCATGTCTATTTAGAATGAATGGCCATTACAAGTTCATCGTTATAAAATGTCGCTTGATTGGTTTCAAGAAGAAAAACAAGATATTGAAATTAATTTAGATTCAATGTCAAATTTTAAAAGATTTAATAAAACACAAATTGATTCTTCATTTTCCGATTATAAAATAAATATAGAATTTTTACCTTTATCATTTAATTTAACAAACGATCAATTAATTCATTTTCGAGATTTTCTTTTGAATGGAACAAAATGTCGTTTTATTCATCAATTGGTAAATTATTTTCGAGATTTTATTTCAATGAAATCGAAATAAAAAAAACATAGAATTATTCTATTTAGAAAATATTTAATTAAAATGAAAGTATTATTAATTGCTTTTAGACTGAATATTGGCCTCCTGAATCAAATAATACACAAGGAAATGATCCACAAAAAAATAAGTCAAATGCAAGTCGCGATAAAGTTTGATTTTATTTCATTGATTAGAAAAGATTTCTATTGATTTATTTTTTCTCAAATAGAAAAATGAAACTCCTGTTAAGAAAAAGAAAATAGAAGATTTAAGTAAATTAATAATTCGAACGGATCCAATTGAAACAATTTTAGCTGAATTTAATATTGATCTCCGATCATTTCTTGATGGTGATTATCAAGTTTTGTTTCAATATAAATCAATTCTTGAACAACAAAAACAATACTTCTTAAGTCAACAAGATAATATTGAACTTAAATCAGGAAAACAAAAAGATTCGTCGGATAAAAATGATTCAAATAAAGATAAAAAACGAACATCTGCTTTTAAAATACCTCAAGATAAATTAAAAGATCAACAAAAAGGTATTTTAATCTTTTTTTGTCTTTATTGATAAGAAATATGTTTCTTTTTGTTGTTGAATTTAATTAAGATAAAAAAAATATTAATGAAAATGATAATGAAAGTGATAAAATTGATTTAATTCAACCATTTCAATGTTCAATTCAATTTCAACTTCAACGATTTGTTACACAAGAACAAATTATTTAAATTTTTTCTCTTTTTTTCTTATATAAAAATCTTCATTCATTCAAAATTTCTTAATAAAAAACAAATATATGAACAATTTTAAGTGAATATAGATTTTAATTTGATTTTTGTTTCGAAAAATTTTATTTTATTATTTAACACGAAGTTTTTCTTTTATTTAAAATAATAAAATTATTTAAATAGAAATAAAAAAATTGATGTTGATTTGATTAAAAAAGAAATTTTATTCTGGTGTTTTTTGTAATACTAGATCAATGATTTGATTAATTAAAACAATTTCATCTTGAGATGGATTATCTTGAATATTAATCATGGATTCCATTGATAATATATCAGAATAATATCTTGGACGTTGATTTACATCATGACGAAGTCTTGTTATAGAAAAATAGAAAAATTAGAAATTAAGAAAAATCAAATAAGTAAAAAAATATTCAATACAATATGGAAAGTAAATCTCTAGTAGATTGTGAAAGTGTTAACGGTAAATCAGGTTCCCATCCATTTTTTATTTGATACATAAATGACATAATTGATTCGGATTCTAATGGTAGATGGCCTTGACTTATTTCAAACTAATTAAATATTTCTTTTGTTTTTTAATAACAATTTTTCGACCAAAAAAAACAACATACAAGAGTCATTCCTAATGCCCACATATCAGATCGTGTTCCATAAGTACAAACATTACCAAGACGTTCAGGCTTTTTTTTGAGTTTTATGTTTTAAAAATAAATGATTAAGAAAAGTAAAAACAAAAACAAGATTTCTTACAGGTAAATATCTTAATGATCCACGATGAGTTGATGCAAGTGAATCTTTCAAAGTCCCACATATTCCAAAATCACATAATTTAAATATTGATTGACGTCCAACTAAAATATTTTGTGGTTTTATATCTCGATGAATTAAATTTTTTGATTTAAGATAATCAAGTGCTAAAACAATCTAAACGAATTCATTTTCAATAAAATAAAAAGTAAATAAAAACAAAACAAACATGTTTTGCTAATCTTCGTATAAATAAATCTAATACAATATTAGTTGGTTTAAAACATGAATGAAGAATTGGATAAAATTTATCAAGACTTGCATCAAGAACTTCCATACAGATAATTAATTGTCCTTCAATTAAATCAATAAGAGCAGCATAAAAATGAACTATATGGGGATGCCGATCATTTCCAACTGTTCTCATTGCTTTTAAATCACTTTCTGACGAATAACTATTATTTCCATGATTTTCAAGTGTCATTTTCTAAAGAATTATTATTATTATTGTTTTTCCTATAAAATTAATTAGATTTAAACTAACTTTACATGCGAAAATCACATCTGGTCTATGTTCAAGTTGAGTTAGAGTAACAATACCAAAATTTCCTTCACCTATTTTTTTAATTGTTTTTAATTGTTGAACATTAAATTGAATAAATTGTCCATTATATTCAATTTGACATGAATCTTTTATGTCAGACAACCTAATAAAAAGAAATAAATAAAAATTCTTTGTTTTATGTCAACTCAACTGATATTTATTGGGAATATTTTCATCAGAATTTTTTTCAATATCACATGTTAAATCAGTACACATTAAACGTACTAAATATTTTAATAAACATAAATAATATTAATTATCTATATAGAAATACGTTTTCGTCTTTTAGCGCTTCTTGAAGAGTCGTTCGATGTTGAATACATTGGATTCTTTTCTTAATGCACGTGCCGCAATAAAGTACGTGAGATATAACCAAATATTTTGAAAATGAAAGAGAAACGAAGAAAAAAAAACATTGTTTTTCTATTTATTTATTTGACATTACATTCGCATATTAAGCGTTTTATTTTAATTAGGTTAAAGATTTTTTTCGATTGTGTTTTCGAAATTAAATAAAAAACTATTTTTTGAAGAAAAGTGGAATTTTTGTATTTCAAATTTTTTTTTCTTAACCAGTCTTCAAGTTTATTTATTTTTCTTTTCAAATATGATCAATCACAAAAAATCTATGGAGACTTAAAATATGCTTTTCTTGTCTTTTTTTATGAATGCTTGTAAATAATTATTATTATCAACATGATTGTTATTTATATTGATTGAAAGTTCTATCAATTGTTGACGACCTCTTAATAATGTACAATTAACGTAACGAATAGAATTGTTCTTGCTTCACTCTAGTTTGTTATTATGTTAAATTAAAAATAAAATCGTAAAAATACTATAAGAGAAAAGCATTCCAATATAAGTTAGTCAATTTTTATTGAAAATATATTACAACAAAAACAGAATTTTCCGGGAAATCTGTAAAAATTTGATATATGCTGGTAGAAGGATTCCATTTTTTTCTAACTGAATGATTTGATTTAGTACCTTTTCTTTTTTCCGCCGTTTCGAATCCATAAAAAATCAAATGATTATTTGCATAAATGAAAGGAAGTAAATATAAACGATTATTTACGATGGAATTATTCATAGGTTTCCAACATGTTCTAGAGAGGTATGTTGATTTCGATAAATAACACCTATAGAATGTATTCCTCTAGTTGCAAACTTACGTATGAGACTATGACAAGTATATAATTGAGAAAGAATAAAAAATTTGAAATAAAAATTTCTTTATTGTATCAGAATATATCATTCTTAACAATCTCGGTGAAGGTTCATATGCCAAAGTATTTAAATGTGAAAAAATTGCCGATGGATCAATTTGGGCTTGCAAACAACTTTTTAAAACATTCGAGAGGTGATAATTTTAATTTGCTTTGTAAATTATGAAATGCATTTCAGCTGTTTTTAGTATGGATGACATTGAACGAATACCAGAAATTCAAGTATTTAAAAAATTAAATGAACATGCGAATATAATTAAACTTCATGAAATAATTTAGTATATTATTATTAATTTTCATAAATTATTTCGACTGTTTTTCCTTCTTCCTTCTATTTAATTAGTAATAATCGAATATGTTCATTATGTTTAATATTCGAGTGGATGGATATGGATCTTTATATCTATATAAAAGGTATCAATTCAATTTATACGTATTTGTTTTCTTTTCTTATTTAAATATTTAAAATAGATCGAAAATCTCCACTACCAAAGATTATTGTTGCTAAATGTATCTATTCGATCTTAATAGCACTTGAATATATTCATAGGTAATTATATTTATGTTTATCTTTAAATTAATACAGTTTACATTATTCTTATAGACACGGATTTATTCATCGAGATGTAAGTGTAGAGTTTGTTGTTTTAAAATGTAATTGAATATATTTCAAATATTCATTCTATAATCAATAATCAATATGAATAATGAAATTCTACAGAATCCAGACGGTGTAGCTTTGGTAGTAAAGATTTACAATAGAATTTCTGTTTCTCATGAGATCAATCGTGTCGTTAAGAATGTGAATTTTTTGTTGTATCCAATGAAACGGAAACATTTGTTTGATCTTATTCAAAAAATTTATTCTCTTTCAAAATAAAAATAAAATCGTTAAATCCTGCTAACGTCAATAAATTCTATTAATCAATTCTGTGTCATATAAATACGAAATAGAATTGTTATTGTTCTACTACTAGACTTGATGACTGAAAGCAATATTTATTTCTTGCTCTGAAGAAAAATTAGAGATTTAGCAAAATATAGTCCTATGATGAGTATACTAACTATTTAACTTGTTTCTTTTTGAAAATTTGTACTTTTTTCTTGCTTTCTACAATGGAAATTTTTATTAAAGTTCAAAACTAGAAAATGTCTAAAGGAATACTTAACATGTTGATTAATTGGCTAGTTTTAATCAATTTATTACTAACAGCTGATTTGAGATCAATGAAAACATTCGATACAATTCGAGCTTATATTAGTGCTCTCTCTCTTTCATATTATCAATGCGTGTTCTACAATAAAAATTAGTAAAGAAGATTTTCGTTCATCAATTTCTCATGCGATGGTAAATTCCGATGTACAGGAAATTCAAATGAAATGACTACAATAAAAATTTCTTGGAAATTCAATTGAATGCATTTAAAAATAATCATATACTAGTTGTCTTGTTATATACAAAAATTAAAATGAGGTTGATG